TCTGGGGAACCCCCAGGGACTGGAGGCCTCTGCCCAGCCACTCCCCAGCCAGGGCACAGCAGCTCCACAGCCCCACAGCAAGTGCCTGGGACCCCACGCCCGTCTGGAGGCAGCAGGAGGGCCGAGGGCAGAGCTGGGATAAGCCGCAGCAAAGACTGCTGTAGCGGGGGAGAAAGGGGGATTGAGGGATTACTGTTGCAAACGGCCGGGAGCCTGTTAAAGCTGGGGATCAATTTGCCGCCCCCTGGGTGGAGGAAAGTGGGGCCTCTGCCCCACAGGAATTAATCTGCTTCTTAATGAAGAGCTGGGAATTTTGTTGTCAACAACCAGCAACACGCCTGCTGGATGCAGGGGCACAGGGGCCTGGGGGTGCAGGGATGCAGAGCACAGGAGTGCAGGACCAGGCTGGTACCCCTAGGTGGGAAGTACAGCCTGCACCAGCAGCCATTCCAGCTCCTGGAACCACCGTGTTTCCCATCAGGATGAGATAATCCTGGACCAGACACAGCTCTGCTGATCCCACTGGAGCAGCATCCTTCCTATGTCCAGCTCAGTGCCAGCCCACAGCAAAACACATTTTATTTCTTGGCCATATTCCCTCCAGCCTCGCCTCCAGCCCTGCAGAGGAGGCACCAACAGCCCCATGGTAGGCTGGGGTCTCCTGTACATGCTGTGTGCCCTTGGCCAGACCCTGCTCCCCTGGCTGGGTACTCCCAGGCTTGGCCCACAGTCCTGCGTGACAGGGACTGAGTGGAGTTGCTATTTCTGTCCCCAGCGTGCAGTTGTAAAAGATGAACAAAATAAAAGATTCAGGACAGGTTCTGGAGGGGCGTCACACCTGCCACCTCGCCTTCCTCCCTGGGGCTGGGCCTGCGCTCTGCACTGTTTTCGGTATCGGGAGAGGCACGTGGTCAAACCACAGGTTACAGAGCGCTGAGACATCAACGGCTCCAGACCCACCGGCCACAGGAAAGGTCCTGCTGCGCAATGCAGAAACAGGTGAGGGGCTGCAGGGTGAGGGGTTTGCTGGGGGCCAGGCAGGAACCCCCTCACTGGCTTTTCTTATGTTTTTTAGATAGTTTTCTTGTGAGCTCTGGGAGTTTGGGCTGAAAGGCAAGTCCCTGTGGAATCCAGGCAGTACCTGGTGTTCCAGGTCCCTGGGGCCCAGAGCAGGGAAGGAGCTGGGAGAGCTGCTGGAGAGTTAACACTCCCTGACACTGGGTTCAGATCCCACCTGTGGCCCCAGAGCGGGTGGAGGGGCTCAGGCCCAACTGCCTGGACTTGCTGACGTGGGCCAGAGTGAAATTGCTGTTGGGAGGCTGCTCTGAATCAGAGCTGTGTTGGATCCTGACCCCCCTGGCAGTGGGGTCCTGGCTCTTCAGTGCCAGGTTGCAGTGCTCTCCCGCTGCCCCCAGAGCAGGGCTGAGCAGCTGGGAGCTGGGAGCACTGTGTGTAGCTGCCTGCAAGCTCAGTGCCCTGGGACCTCCCTGTCTGGGTCCAGGGCCAGGGAGTGTGGGGCTGTATCTGCACTGGGATCCCCAAGGTGGTGCATGGGTGGGTGGGTGCTTTGGGCATCCAGGGATGCTGGTGTGGAGGCCCGAGACCTGACTGCCCAGGGCAGCCAGGGCTGTAGGCTGGGTGCTGATCCCCAGGGGATGCTGGAGCAGCTCCCCAGACAGCTGCAGAGTTAGTCCTTGGGACGTGGTGCTGTGCTGGGGACGCTGCAGCCGGGGGTCACGTCCCTCCAGCAGCTCTGCATCGCAGGCGGCTGCTCGGGAAGTGTGCAGTTGCTCTTGCAATGACTGAGCATGGTGAACCTCCCGCTGCGGTGGGGTGGGTGTGAGAGGCAGAAACCACACTGCACGTGGGGCTGGGGACTGGGGGCTATGGCACGCCCGGGCTCCCCACGGTGGGGCTGGGTGGAGAAAGGCTGCCCTGGGCGTGGTGCTGCACCCTGTGGCCAGGCTGCCACCACCAAGCCCTCCTCATTCAGCCTCCTTCTGTGCAGGCAACCCCCAGCCCCCTCTCGACGGAGCTGATGGCCACGACTGAGTTCTACTCCTGGGAGGACGACTACTCAGGGGAGGCCGACATGCTGCCTGAGCTCTGTGAGAAGCAGGCGGTGCAGGGCTTTGCCCGCACCTTCCAGCCTGCCGTCTACCTGCTGCTCTCACTGCTGGGCACGGTGGGGAATGGGCTGGTGCTGCTCACGCACACCCGCTACCGCCGGGCACACAGCGTCACTGACGTCTGCCTCCTGCACCTCGCCCTGTCTGACCTCCTGCTGCTCCTGACGCTGCCCTTTGCCATCACTGACACGCTGCAGGGCTGGTCCCCAGGCACGGCCGCCTGCAAGGCGCTGCAAGGTCTCTACGCCCTCAACTTCTACAGCGGCTTCCTCTTCCTCACCTGCATCAGCGTGGACCGCTACGTGGCCATTGTGCGGGTGCCAGCCGCCTGTCGCCTGCGCCCACGGGCTCGCCGCCACGGCTGGCTGACAGCGGGGCTGGCCTGGCTGCTGGCTACGCTGCTGGCACTGCCCCAGTTCATCTACAGCCAGGCAGAGCAACACCAGGACCTCTGGCTCTGCCGGGTCGTCTTCCCCCACGCGGTCTCGCGGGTGGCCCGGGGGGCCACCAACCTGGTGCAGGTGGTGCTCGGCTTCGCGGTGCCCTTCCTGGTGATGGCGAGCTGCTACGCGGCCGTAGCGCGGACGCTGCTGGCGGCCCGCGGTGCCCAGCCCCACCGGGCACTGAGAGTGCTGCTGGCCCTCGTGTTGGTGTTCGTGGCCCTGCAGCTGCCCCACAGCCTGATGGTGCTGCTGGACGCGGCCGAGCTGCTGGCCAGCTGGGAGGTGAGCTGTGCCCAGAGCCGCCGCAAGGACCTGGCGCTGCTGGTCACCGGCGGCCTGGCGTACCTGCGCTGCTGCCTCAACCCGCTGCTCTACGCCTTCCTGGGCCAGCGCTTCCGTCGAGAGCTGTGGCTGCTCGCCAGCGATGCCGGCTGCGTGGGGCCCCTCGACCCGCGCTGTCTCGGCTGTCCCAGTCCCCGCCGGCGGACATCGCTCTCCACGTGCGTGGATGTGGTGTAGGGGCACCGTGCCCGCAGCCACGGCAGGGACCAGCGCCCCGGGGCTCGGCCCCTCCACGGCTCCCTGGGGAGAACCTTGTCCATACATGGGCCTGCCCTGGCGAGTAACCCGGCATGGGCAGCGCTGGACAATCTGCACGGTGACCCTACACTCGTGGATAGAGGGAAGAGCAGCTCCACAGCACCTGCGTGTCCTGAGAGTGCCTTCAGTGCTCGGTGACCCGCTGGGGTGGGGGTTCCCACATTGTCACACGTGCTCCGGGGGAAGCCTGCAATGTCATGTGTGTTGTGGGGGGATCATCTAATATCACACGTGATCCAGGGTGGGGAGGGCCATGCAATGTCACGCGTGCTCTGGGGGTCCGTGCGGTGCCGGTGAGCTGGGTCGGTGAGTGAAACAGTGGGGCCGGGCAGGCAGCTGGTTCCCACTCTCACAATAAACCTCGGTCGAGTCCCCGTGGGCGAGCGTCATCTCCGTCCGGGCCGGGGCTGCCCCGTGGGCTTTTGCGGGACAGGAGCTCGGGGCCGGGTGGCGGCCCTGTGGCCACCGGCGCAGGCGGGCGATGCCTGCAGGAGGCAGCAGAACCTCGCGCTTCCTGCCCGCCCTCTGCCTGCTCGCTCCCCGTTCCCTGTTCACCCTCTGCCCGTCCCCAGGGCCGGAGGAGCAGAAACCCCCTGTAAAAACCCGCCCTGGGTCCAACTGGAAACCCCCTCCTGGGGTGGGGGCTGAGGGACGTTCCTCTCCCCTCCTCGCTGCCCCCACGAGCTCCTGTGCCACAGCACATCGCGGCCCGGCGGCTTCCTGAGGCTGGATGATGCTTCACGCTCATCCCCTGCTCTGCTTGGGATTAACCCAGCGCTCGACTGGAAGAAGCCAACGCAGAACCGTGGTAATGGTGTTGCCCTCAGCCCTCGGTGGGGAGCAAGGGCCGGATCAGGCAGTAATGGCCAGGCAGCACAGCTGCCCCCGCTGCCCTCCCAGCCTGTGGCCTCAGGTGGTCCCGCTCCCCTTCTCTGCTGTCCCCATGGCTGGCAGGCTCTGCCCAGTGCCCGTTGCTGTCCTGGCTGCGTGACCGGCCCCACAGCGGGGCTCAGCCCCCGGCACAGCCCAGCGCAGGCTGCGTGGGAGGTGAACTGGCAGCCGACGCTTCCTGCCTGCGCATCCCAGCACCCCGGGTTCCCAGGGACGGCGCTGACCCAACAGCTGTAGCAAAACCAGAGCCTTAACCCCTTCTGGGGCCCAGCGAGCAGGGCCAGGGCCCGGGCGCTGCCAAGGCACCCCAGGCTCGACGGGTCCAGGGCTGAGCCGAGCCGCGTCGCTGTGGCACTGGGTGTGAGTCCGCCACGAGCCCCTTCTGCCAGCTCCTCTGTGGAAATTCGCCACGAGGGCCGGCAGGTCAGGCCTGGCTGGGCACGGTGCCCTGCTGCCCACGCTGCGAGCACGGAGCCCCGGTGCTGCCCGCTGGCACACACTTGGCACGGCACCGGGCTGAGCCGCCTTCCCGTGTCCACGCGCGAGTCAGGAGCCAGGGCAGCACATGGTGCCGGTGCCGCGGGGCAGGGCAGGGGCCCGTGCCCGGTGCCGGTGCCCACACTGGGTGCGGGCGGTGCCCGGTGCCGGTGCCCCACCAGGTGCGGGGGGAGCCCGCTGCGTCCCGCCGGCGGTGGCTCCGGGAGTCCCGGCCCCGCCGCAGCCCGGCCCCGCGCTCCCCCCCGCCCGGTCGCTGACGCAGCGGCGGCCCCGCCGCCCCGGGCGCTGGCTCCGCCCCGGGCCCCGCGCAGCGATTGGCGGCGGCCGGTGACGCGCGGCCCGGCCCGCCCGGGGCGGCGGCAGGGCCGGTCCCGGCGGCGGCGGCGGCGGCGGGCGGTGCGCGGGACGGGCGGGCGGCGGGCTGGTCCCGTCGCGTCCCGGTGCCGGTGCCGTCCCGTCGGTGCCGGCGGGGCGATGCCGTTCCCGGGCGGGCTGTGGTGGCTGCTGTGCTGCCGGCGGGGCTTCACTCTGCTGCGGCGGGACTACGGCGAGGCGGAGCGGGAGGCTGACGGCGAGGCCGAAGAGGAGGAGGAGGCGTCCTTCGAGCTCCGCACCCAGGGAGACCAGGTGGGGCCGGCACCGGTTTCGGGACGGAGCAGCGGCGCCGCGGCGGGACCGGTGGCGCGAGAACCCTCTGGACCCGGCCCGATCCCCGCCGCCCGGTCCTATCCCCGCCGGTCCCGCCTCCCGGGGTGCCCTTGGCGCGTCCCCGTCCCCGCCCGGGGGGTCCCGCGGGGCGTGGGGGGGAAGTCGTCCCGGCGGGTGCGGGAGCAGCCTCCATGGGGGCGCGGGAGGTCCGGGGACCACGAGGCAGGGTCGGAACTTGCGGGGCTCGCTGCCAGCTGGGTCCCGGCGTGGGGCCGGTGCCTCGGCGGCGGGACCCGGCGCCCACCAGCTGCTGGAGTGCAGCCTGAGCCGGGCGCTGCCTGCTCCTGCCTGCTCCTGCCTGCTCCGGCCCGCGCTGCTCGCTCCTCGGGGCGGGGGCCGCGGGGCTGCCGTGCCAGACCCACACCGGCCCGGAGCGGGGCCGGGTCTGTCCCAGGAGCACGTGCCGGGCGCGGGGAGCGGGCCTGGATCTCCCTGCTCCGGCTGCTTCCTCTCCGGAGGAAGCGGAGCGGCGGAAACCGGCGCTTCCTTCGGCCAGGCTGTGTGTGGGACGGCTGATAGCGCGGGGCGCGGGGGAAACCCCCGGCTCCCGGGGGGCCTCCTGCCCGTCCCGGCGCGGTCTCCGGCACCCAGGGCCACGGGGCCGAGTCCCAGTCCGGGAGGGACACAGTGGGTGGTGACAGCCCTGTCCCGCTTGCTGCGGCTCCTCTCCGCTGTCTTTGCAGGGGCTGCAGCAGGGCCCTGGCAGAAAGTCCCCTTTCCTAGCAGTGCCAGGCCCCTGGGATGGTGGGCAGTGGGGACATTGGCAGGGCTGGAGTGGGGCCCTCTGGGAGCTGGTGGCAGTGCCAAGGGCACGACTGTGGCAGGAGCTGTCTTTGGGCTTCCAGCATCCCATGGGCCACACTGGCTCCGGAGAGCCGGGCTGGCGTGGGCGGCTGGTGACGCCAGCTCCCCGGGGAGCCCTTTGCCGTGTCCAGGGGGTCCTTGGAAACCCACAGTGCTGGCTGCCCCTTCCTGGGAGCGTGGGAGCTGCCACGACTCCTCTCCAGTTTATTTATATCTCTGAGAAGGAGCCGACAGCCACCACCACCTCCTCTGGACTGCCCGCGAGAAATTGGGCGCTGTCTCTGTGCCCAAAGCCCTGAGGAGCGTGTGGGGCCCTTCCCAGCCAGCGGGACACTGGCTTGAGGTGCTGGCCCCGTGCACAGGCACCAGCACTATGTGACAGGTGCCCTTAATGCCACGGGTCAGTGGTGCCTGGCCCTGCCCCGTGGTGCAGCCATACCTGCGGCAGCTCCCCCCTCCCTGTCGCTATTTTTAGTATCTGTCTCTTTTTCTTGGCGTTGTGTGGCGTGCTCTGGCCTGTCATGCCTCTGGCTGCCCTATTGGGCTACAGCTGGCAGGAGCTCCCGTTCATCTCCTGGGGCAGCATCGCTGGTACTGCCGTGTCCCCGCACCCCGCTCTGCCAGGGTGCCCTGCTCAGCTCGGTGCCTGACAGTGCCTGGGCTCTGCCTCGTGTCCCAGCACGTGTGCCAGGCTCATCACGTGAGCGGCACCGTCCATGTCAAGCTGTGCCGTGCGAGGAGGAACCGACCCTGTCCCGCTGCAGGGCCAGGGACTTCCCAGAGCCGCGTCCCACCGCCGCGGGCAGGAAGTCAGCGGCCCCATTACAATGGGACTTTGTGCCGTAAGCGTATTACTCAGCACTGACCTTGTGCAATTCTGCACGGTATTCAGCCGGCCGGGTCAGCTGAGGACACGCGGCCAGCGCGCCCGCCGGCTGCCCCCGCATCCCCCGGGTGCCCCAGCTGCAACGCTGGGCCCTGCCACGGCCGTGGGGGCACTGAAGCTCCCTGCCCCATGGCAGCGGGATGCGAGCCTGTCCCTCTGGGCCTGGAGCTGGGCTGGCAAGGAGGCGCACAGTCAGTGGGGGGGATGGCCGGGGGCACGAGTCGATGACCGTGGGGCTGAGACGTCTCCTTCCTCCCCAGGGATCCCTGGAGGTGAGCCTGAGCCAGCCCACCCGTAGCAGCAGTGGCTCGGAGCGGTGAGTAACCCCCTGCATCCAGCCTGCTGGGCATCCCATCACATCCTCCTTCGCAGGAGCTGGGGGACTGGCATGCTGTGGGAGGTTGCCCTGGTGCTGGTGTGCGCTGAACACGAGGCTGTGTCGCTCTGTCAGCTAGAACAGGGATGGCAGAGCCAGGACAGCCGTGCTTGTCCCCATCCCTGGCGCATCCTCAGGCGTGCCTCCGTTCCTCTGCCATGGCAGATAGCTTGACTGCTGCAAGCTTAGCCAGTGGGGCTGTGCGTGACTCTTCCTGTGCCAGGAGGCTCTTCTGGACCATGTCCATCGGCAGAGGCTGTGCCCTGCGGCGGTCTGTGCTGGGGAAGATGGGGGGCTGGGGCACAGGGGCCTGCTCGCTCCCTGTCTTCCCAGTACTGACGCTACTGCCAACATTCCTTCCTGGTTGTTCATTTTCCGAATTCCTTGGCAGGGCCGCGACTGCAAACAGCTTATTTTTAGCCAGGGTCATCTGCACCCAATGACTCTGCCGTGTTCCCACCACAGGGCTGGGGTGCCCAGAGACCCTCAGGACCCAGCTGACCCCAGCCCCTGGGCTAGCTCCTGTTCAGGGACTGTGGAAGACACATGCAGGCACCCCGAGCTCAGCCCTGTGTTGTCCCCAGGTCCCTACTTGTCGCGGAGGAGATGCGCAGCCTCATCGTGGAGAAGGGCCCAGGGCCAGTGGAGGATGACCCTGATGCTCTTGTGAAAGGTGGGGTTCTGCCCCAGCTGTGGCTGGTCCCATCCCACAGGGACAGAGGTACTGGCTGGGCGGGTGCCAAGCAGACCCTGCCCTGCACAGAAAAGCTGGTGGGGCGAATGGTGCTGGCCGTGGGGACTGAGGGTTCTCTTCCCAGGCTGGCTGCAGCGGGAGATGCGGGGCTGCATGAAGACTCCCTGGATTCGTCCTCGGAAGTACTGGTTCGTGCTGACACCTGACTCCCTAGACTACTACAGCAGCAACGAGAAGGGGGCCCGGCGGCTGGGCTCCCTCGTGCTCACCAGCCTCTGCTCTGTGCTCTGGCCAGACAAGCAGCTCTACAAGGAGACAGGTGAGGTTCCCATACCCCTTGGCCACATCTTCATGGCCCTTTGTGCCCTGGGTCACCCTCCCCGGTCCTGGGGGCTATGCCGAATCCCGGGGTGCTGAACCTGGCCCGGTTCAGGGGGGTCCTTACAGCTGGCGAGCAGTGGGTGAGTGGTTTGTCCCTCGCAGGCTACTGGAGCGTGACGGTGTTTGGCAGGAAGCACTGCTACCGCCTGTACACGGAGCACCTGAACGAGGCCGTGCGCTGGGTGTGTGCCGTGCAGAAGGTCATCGACAGCAAAGCGCCCGTGCAGACGCCCACCCAACTGCTCATGCGCGACGTGGAGGTGAGCCTGTGGCACTGCCCCACGCCTGCAGCCTCTGGCAGCATGAGGATGGGTGTTCAGGGCCTCATGTGCCCTGGGGAGGTGGCTGTGCCAGGCACTCAGCCGGGCGACCCCTCTGCAGCTGCTGCCATCGCTTTGTCCCCCAGGAGCACAGCAGCAGCCCCGAGGTTCTGGAGCAGATCTACCGCTGCAACCCCATCCTGCGCTACACCAGCGGCCCTCTCTATGCTCCCCTGCTGCCCTTCCCTTACGGCAGCCTGGACCAAAGTGGTGAGGGACGGGTGGGGGGCACGAAGCCAGATCCTGCACCCTGGGCTGGTGGCAGCGATGCCCTGGCTGGGCGCTGTGCAGGGCAGGTGGGCGCTGGGCTGGGTCCTGGCTGGCCCCAGCTGTCAGGACAGTGCCCAGCTGCTGGCAGCTGTTAACCTCCGTCCCGTCCTGCAGCCCCCGGCCCCCGCAGCTACACCACGCTGCGTGATGAGGCTGTGAAGCTCTTCAACTCGCTGCAGCAGCTGGAGTCGGAGCGGGACCCGGTGCCGCTGATGCAGGGCGTCCTGCAGACCTGCCTGGACCTGCCGCCGCTGGTGGATGAGATCTACTGCCAGCTGGTGAAGCAGACCACGGAGCCGCCGGCGCCGGGCGGGCAGGGCGACCTGCACTACTGGCAACTCCTCACCTGCATGAGCTGCACCTTCCTGCCCTCCCCGCCTGTCCTGCGCTTCCTGCGCTTCCACCTGGACAAGTGAGTGCCAGGGGTGCCAGCTGCAGGCAGAGGGCTTGTCAGGTTGCCATACCCGCTCGGGTCCGTGCCATCCTGACCCTCCTGGCGTTTCTTGCAGGACTGAGAGCTGTTTCCCCGCCTCAGAGATGGCCAAGTATGCCTGCTTCATCCGGGAGGCACTGGGAAAGACAAAGGGACGGGAGTGTGTGCCCTCCCTGGACGAGATTCTGATGCTGATGCAGCGGCAGGAGATGATCTGCACCGTTCACTGCCCTGGGGCGCCCGCCTGCAGCGTGGCCATCAGCTCCCACACCACGGCCCAGGAGGTGAGGGGTCGCAGCCATGCCGGGCAGTGGGCTGGGGGTGTTTTGGCATGCAGGGCTGGGTGGGGCAGCGTGTCATGGGAAGCGAGGAGCTCCTGCGGGTCTCTCCCACCTGAGCCATGATGGAGAGGGACTGGGGGCCGCCTGCCTTTGCCCACCATGACCTGCTTGTGTCCTTTTGCAGCCCTGAGCGCCGTGTCCAGGGACACGTGGTCACCGTCGGTTGCCTTTGTCTCGCCCAGGTGGCCCAGGAGCTGGTGTCGCGCCTGGGGCTGTCCCAGAGCCCCAACCTCTTCGCGCTCTACGAGCAGTCCCGGCGGCGGGAGCAGCCAGTGGGCAGTGCCACACTGCTCGCTGATGTCCTCACCAGGTTTGAAAAGTAAATGTCCCACTCTGCTGCCTATGAGGAAAGGGGTCGGGGAGCCACAGGCAGGAGGGGACGGTGTGGGGTTCCTCCATGAGCTGATGGAGCTGGTCATGTCTGCTGCAGCCTGGCCGGGGAGCAGCGTGAGCAGGACCCACCGTGCCGGCTCTGCTTCAAACACTACGGCTTCCTGGACACGGACAATGTCCCACGGGACAGCCTGGAGTTCGCCCTCCTCTTCGAGCAGGTGAGTGCCACACTGGGGTTGGGGTGGCCGTGCCGTGGCGGCCGTGCCGTGCCGGCTCACCCCGCGCTCTTTGCAGGCACACGAGATGGTGCTGCGGGGCTACGTGCCCACGTCGGAGGAGACGCTGCAGACGCTGGCAGCCCTGCGCCTGCAGAGCCTCAACAGCGACTTCTCCACCCACGCGCCCTTCCCGCGCCTGGAGGAGCTCTTCCCGCCCCACGTGCTGCACGCCCGCCTGCCGCCCCCACCCCACCGGCCCCCTGCCAAATGCCGGGGGGCCCGGCTGCGTGCAGGGCTGCTGGCCGGCGGGCTCTGGGGCCAGGCGCTGGCCAAGCAGCGGGCCGAGCGGGACCAGCGCCTGCGGGGCCGCCTGCGCGAGGAGGGGGCCAGCACCATGGCTGCCATCGTGGAGAAGTGGAAGCTGCTGCAGGGCATGGGCCGGCCCGAGGCCATGGCTGCCTATGTGGCCCTGGTGCGGGAGTGGCCTGGCTTCGGCTCCACGCTCTTCGACGTCGACCTGCACGTGGTGAGGCCCCGGCCGGGCAGGGCATGGGGGCAGCCCTGGCAGTGGGTGGCCCTGACACCCCTCTCCTCACAGAGCCCGGTGGGGGCCGGGCCCCAGCGCCTGTGGCTGGGCATCGGGGCCAAGGCCGTCTCGCTCTACAAGCCGGGGGAGCCCGAGCCCTTGGACAGCTTCTGCTACGGCCGCATCTCCTCCTTCGGCGCCTCCGACAGCAGCACCTTTCGCCTCTCTGTGGAGGACCGAGACCTGCTTTTTGAGACCTCCCAGGTAAGGGGCAGCCATCCCTCCACGCTTCCCTCCCTGACAGGGGTGCCTCAGGGCGACTCACTACGACCCCTCTGCCTGCAGGTGGACGAGATCGCCCAGCTCCTCAACACGTACCTCGCCTCTGCGGGTGCCCAGCGGCTGCCTCGGCCCCAGGAATCCCCCACCAGCCCCACCACCTCGGAATCCACTGTGCTGCCCCAGGGGCTCTGCCCTGCAGCTGGGCCCTGGCAGCACCGGCCACCGGTGGGTTCCTCTCACAGCTAGCCTGGCGGCCAGCACAGCCACACAGGTGCTCTGATGACCGGGGCGGGAGGGCTGCCAGCCCAGCAGCAAGCGGCAGGTCTGTGCTGGCCCCCAGCTGTTCCGTGGAGCAGGGGATCAGGGGCTCCTTCTTCCCCCCACCCACTGCCATTGCCTTTCTGGTTATTTCCTTAATTTATTTTGAGACGCCTGTGCGCCCCACATCTCCCAGCACTTTCCCTGGCGGGCAGTGGGGCCGCCCCACGGTGGTTCCCCGCACTGCCCTCAGGCCTGTTCCCGTCCCCTGTACCCTGGTGCCTTCGCCTCCAGCACTTGTGCTGTCTGATTGCTCTGCCGGTGCCCTGGGGGCTTCGCCTGGGGCAGAGGGTGTCAGGCAGCAGTGCTGTGCCATTGTCTGTCTGTCTGTCTGTCCGTCCGCTGGACCCACCCCTCCTGGAAAGCTGCGGGCGGCTTTTGGCCGAGCCACCCTGGGGACCTGCAGGCTCCTCCTGGCTCACTGGCCAGGTCCTGTGGCTCTGTGGTGGCCCTGTGGCTGAGCTCGTGTCGAGGGGGTGGCCAGTGGGGTGGCAGCTGGTACGGCTGGGGCTCAGCCCCTCAGTGTTGCCTCTGTAGAGTTTGTCAGTTCTGTCCTGGGGAGGAGGGGTTGGTTGTTTGTTTTTCTAAATAAATGCACAAAGGAAAGGCTGGGCCTCCTGTCCCAGAGCTTGGGTCGACAGTGGGAGGGACAGTGGGAGGCCGGGACAGTCAGATCCCTGGGGCAGCAAGGGCAGCGGGGCCTGGGACAGGCGGCGGGGAGTAGCAGCACAGTGTGTCCTTGGGGGCAGGGACTGCCGTCCCTCCGGTCAGTGCTGGGTGCCCTTTGGCACTTCACCAAGAGCACAGGCAGCTCCAGCTCCCCGGCAGCCCCTGGCACTGGCTGCGCCGGGCGGGGGGAACTGCCCCAGCCGCGGGCACTGCTGTGAGGCTGCTGCCAAAGAAGGCGTGGGAGCCCGTGCTGCCATGGTGGCTGTATTTTTAGCCTCCTGCTCTGCGCCCCACAGGGTAAGAGGAAAACGCTAATTCTCACCTTGGGCTGCCTGGGCTTGGGCTGGCGCCATCACTGCCCCATGTCCCCCGCCCGCATCCAAACTCCCACAGGGCAGGACCAGAGCTGCCATGTCCGTGTGCCCCGACACCATCCAGCCCCAAGCCCGTGCCCTTCCCAAGAGTGCCAGCCCCTGCCTCAGATCCCGAGCGCTGAGGGCACCCCCAGCCCCTCATGATCTCCTCCTCCGTGGGGCCTCGCCCTTGTGGAACATCCATGCGGGCACCACGTGCTCTGCAGGCAGGGCGGCGCCGGTCCCAGCCCTGGTCAGCCGTGCTGGCAGGTCCTGCCAGTATTTCTGGCTCTGCTGCAGCGGTCGCCCAGTGCCGCCCGGGCTCCACAGTACTGCTGGCTGGGGCAGGGCTGGCCCCGTGCACCCCGGGACGTGCCCATGAGCAGTGTCCTGCCGAGCTGGGCCCCCACAGGCTGTGGCTGCACAGCAGGGCCATCCGGCCGGGCAAGGCGAGCGCTGGTCTCAGTGTCTGCAGCTGCTTCCCTGCCCGGCTGCTCGCTCAGGAGCTGTGCAAGCAGCATTAGTGCAGGAACAGCCTTTATTAAAGCAAAATAACCTACAAAAATATAGATACAGCCCGTGCCCCAGGCCTGATCTGGCAAAGGAGGAACAAGGCTCCTGCCCAGGGCAAGGACTAGCTCAGCCACACGGAGCCTTTGGCCATGGGGGTTGTCTGCACCCACCTCTGGGGGCCAGGCCTGTTCCCAGCCCCGGGATCGCTCTCCTCCTCCTCCCAGCGAGCGTCGCTCCCACGGGTGGAGGTTCCCTCCCAGCACAGCGCGCAGCTGCCCCAGTCCTGTCCTGGGCCAGGGCACGTGGTAGGGCGGGGGCTGTGCCCCCGCCGAGGGGCTGCAGGGGCAGTGCCGCTCCCCACAGAGCAACTTGCGCGGAGGAGCGCAGCGTGTGTGCGGCCGGCGCGAGGGCTCCGCCGCGCCGGGCAGCGCTGAGGGGTGATAAACGTGGGCACGGCAGAGACGAGCCCTGCCGGCGCGTGTGGGGGTTGGCCGTGGGACCCTCCCGTCCCCTGGCAGGGCACTCACTGCTCCTGCGTGCCCCAGGAGATGTAGTCGGGGCGCGTGGCCGCGTGATACTCGTCGATGAGCTGCTGCACGATCTCCCGGGAGTTGTCCAGCTCGTCGAAGTTGTCCTTGAAGATGTCCTCCTTGCGGAACTGCTCCAGGAAGGCCTCCCGCTTGCGCAGCTTGTCGTACTGCCGGCACGTCCGCTCGAACAGCTGGAGAGCAGCGCGGGGTCACAGGGGCCGGGGCTCCCTGGGGACCCTTCCCGAGAGAACAGCACAGCAGGACTGATGGGACCCTGGACCAGACCTGAGCCCCGCTGGGAGCCACCCACTCCACCCCCTGGCAAGGCCTGCCCTGGCTTCGTGATGGCCCCAGACTGAAGGGACACCAGGGCTGTGGGGCCTAGTGGGGCGGGGGAAGGCACTCACCGAGGAGATGTTGGTATGGTTTGCCATCATGAGGCCACTGACGCGGTGAGCGGACGGCAGGTAAGGGGACTTGCGGGACAGAGCCACCTGGATGCTGGCAGGGCCCCAGGGAATGAAGTTGGCCAACTTCCTCTCCCGGATCCGCTGCAGGCTCTTGTGAACCTGGTGGGGTGAGAACACCAAGGGGAAGCAGGGTGAAGGGCAAAAAGCTGGGTCCCAGCAGACCCAAGAGCTGCTCCTCACAGGAGGCGTGGCCACAGGAAGGTGGATTTCAGCAGGACTGTGGCCTTTCCAAGAGGGCAGAGCTCACACAGGAGCAACCTGGAGCCAGTTCTCAGGCACTGTCCAGTCTTGCCCCAGGATCGCTGCACAGGCAGTGACCATGCCCTTCCCTGGGCCGCACCATGGCCATCAGCACCTGAACGGCTGTGGGAGCTCACCTGTGTAGGATCCACCTCCCCCTGGATGATGTTGAGGATGGCGATGTAGCAGTGGTTGGTCTGCCTGTCTCGCCCTGTGGACACCATCACGTTTTTAGGCTGCAACAATCTTCTCATCACGTCCAGGACTGTGGTTTTCCTCACACTGGCCACCTGCACAGGCCAGCCGGGGGTGAGAGGGAGCAGGTGTGCTGCTCCCCACCCTCCCACTGCCCAGCACACACACACAGCACAGGGGGCAGCTGGGCAGAGACGCCCTCACCCCAGGGATGGGGCCACGTGCAAAGCCACATGCAGGAGGAAAATCCCAAAATCACACAACAGGCACAGCCAGGATGAACAGACTGTCAGTGGAGCCTCCAGCACGGGGGCTGTCTGCCTCCCCCCACAGCACAGCAGGGGCTGAGGATGAAGCTCAGCTGAGAGCAGTGGGGGTCTGACAAGAGAGGGGTTGTTCCCCACTCCATCCCCTCCCTGCCCCGCCCAGCTCCCAGCTATGGGCAGACCAGCCACTGCCATCCCCAAGTGCTGTCTGAGCTTTGCTCAGCTGCCACCAGTCAGGGGGGGTCACAGCTGGGGCCAGAACCCAGAGTGCTCACAGCAGGGACAACTGGGTGAGGTGGCAGCTTCCTCCTGCACCGTCTGAGCCACTGGCTGAGCCGTGCCCACACTCCTCCCCTGGGAGGACAGATCACACACTGATACCCTTTTCAGAGCCAGCAGTTTTTCAGATTTGCTTCTCTGAGCAACATCCTGAGGAAATGCACGCAGGAGAGGAGAAGAGCAGCTGTTAGCTCCTGCTGGACCACAACGGGCCAGTGCAGGCGAGTGCCTCCCAAACAGAACTGCCCCATTCGCACTGAGGGGGTGGAGGGCCCTGGCTGGGGACAAGCCAAATGCAAGCACAGTGCTTGATGTGCTGAGGGCTGGCAAGTCCCCTCCCAGACACAGCTCGAGCCCCAGGAAGGGGCTGACACCTGGAGTCCAACATGAATTTAGGAGTAACAATGATTAATAGAGATTGGACCCAAATGGCCCAATGTGGCAGGACTGGCAGGGCCGCTCTGCTGGCCTTGCTCTGATCGTTTTTAAGGGTGGCTTTTTACCCTGTGATCTCGTCAGCCGCCCTGATGCATGCAGCAGGTAGCCTGGCACATGCACAACTGCCTGCTTATGTCTGATTCATTGCACACGCGGCCATCACGTGGTGTGAGCGCACAGGCCTGGGATGTGGGGCATGCAGCGACAGCTCACACCGAGACACGGGACTGAAAGATGCTACAGGGTGAGCGTGGCAGCTTCCCCTGCCCTCGGGGACGGGGAGGGGTGCCTGGGGCTGCCTTACCGACTGGTCGGTGGTGAGTGGCGTGTACCCCGTCATGAGGAAGTGCAGCCGGGGCGTGGGGATCAGCGAGGCGATCAGCCCGATGAGGTCGTTGTTCATGTACCCGGGATACCTGAGCGTGGTGGTGCTGGCAGACATGATGGTGGAGACCTGTGGGGGAGAGAGAAGGGGGTCAGCACCTGTGTCACCACAGCGCCACAGGACGCGTCACAACCTGCCTCGTGCGGCCGTGCCAGGGGAAGCTGGAGCACCCAGAAGGGCAGAGGACTCTCACTCACAGCTCCAGGCTGCCCACCCGTGAGCCCAGCCCATGCAGCAGGTTAAGAATGAGCTGAACACAGCAGGGAAGCCTCGTGCCGAAGAGCCCTTCTCACCAGCTGGTTGATCTGCGAGAACGACGGGTTCTGAATGTGCAGCCGGTCTGTCGCGATACGATTCAAGGCTGTGTTGTCCAGAACCACCTGCAAGAGAAACCCGGCTCCATGAAGGGCCTCGGAGGCAGCTGAGGAAGGGCAGTCCCAGCTACGTGTCCCAGGGCCCAGCACAGCCCTCTGTGCAGGTGGCAGACACTCGAAACCACAAGCTGACTCATCTGTGCAGTGTAACCGACACCGTCAATGGAAGCTCTTCCCTCCCTCCTGGCTGGGCTCCCTGCACTCTCCCCAAGAGCTCTGCCCCTGGGCCAGCACCACACACCAGCCCCAGCCCCAGCAGCTCTGGTGAAGCTGCTCCTGCCCTGCCACATGCAGGGATCAGCTGCAGGGGACAAGCAGCACCTCAGTCAGACACAACCGAAGGTCCCAGAGCAGGCTGAAGGTGCTGCCTGGCTGTGGGGGCTGTGGGTGCTGAAAGTAATGCCGGGATCGAGTTCAGGCAGAGGCTGCAGCACAGCTGCACAGGGGAAGCAGAGACAGCCCTCACTGCCTTGGGAAGATCTGCTGGATCCCAGAGACAGAAATACCAGTCAGCTGCACAGGGGTTAGCACAGAGCCAATGAGGGTCCCTGGGACCATCACATCTGCTCGGCCCTTCTGCTGGGGGCACACTTGTTGCTACATCCAGGGCTCACAGGCACATGGTGCTGCTGCAGCACTTGCCCCAGCATGGGCTGTGGAGACAGGGGCTGTCACCCTGGGGCTCGCTGCACCACGGGGCTCTTACCACACAGTCAGCATTCTGAGTCAGCCTCTTCAGTGTCAGCAGAGAGTTGTAGGGCTGGACTACAACATCGCTCATCTCATCCTGGTTTGGGAACACCGAGTAGGTCTCCACCAGCTTCTTGGGATACCTGGTGAGAAGTGCAGCCACCTCAAGGGTTAACGCTGCCAAGCCAGCACTCTCACCTCCCACAAACTGCCTTCCCAGTCTCCAGGGCTCAGGACAGGGTGAGTCACCAGAGCTGCAGCCAGAGTGGCTCCCAGGGAGGGAGAGAATGTGTCCCAGCAGTGCCTACCCCAGCAGCACGGGAGCTGGCTGCCAGGGGAGCTGCAGGGAGACTGAGCCATCCACAGGCCGATTAAGCAGCTGCTCACAAGCCTTTTCAAGAGGCTGCAAGCTTAAACAGGCCAGGACAGCAGCTCAGAGCTTACAGCCAGAGCCTCCCATCCTCCCCCTGCACAGTCAGGGTGTCCGCAGGCAGCTGCCTGATAAGAACAGCCAAGGGAAGGCAGAGCTTGGACAGTTTCAGAGCCTCTGAAGTCCCCAGGCATATCAGGAGCCATCCCTCCACAGGCAGCGCGCCAGGGATTGCACAAGACAGTGTTTGGGTGGGGGTGGTGGCTCTGAGTCAGCGCTCTCCAGCTCTGGGCAGGGTGCCCAGGCTGGGCCAGGCTCTGTGGTGCAGGACGGGGACAGGGCTGTGCTCACCTGTCATTCAGTCTCTCCAGGAGGTACGAGCCCAGCCCAGAGCCTGTTCCACCAGCGATGGAGTGGCAAAGCACAAACCCCTGGAAGGAAGCAGAAGGCAGTGCTAAAGCTGCAGCTCAACCCCAGCGCAGGCTGTGCCACCCCCAACATCTCCAGCAGAGACCCACTGGCCAGGGCCAGAGCTCCCCAGGGCAGCTGAGAGCACGGACACAGCAGAGTTGGCTCCTCTCTGCACTCCCTGCAACGTGCAATAGCTGCTTGGGAACCTCCAGGATCCCTCCCACCCAGAACAGGCTTCAAAATAGCTCCAGTGCCACCTCCAGGATCCAGTCTGTCACACTAAATACAGGTGCACTTCTTCAGACCTTTCCTGGGTCCTCCATGCCCCTTCTTCCTTCTAGAGCTCCAGAGCAGCTTCTACCTCCTCAGCTCCCACAACGGGCTCCTGAATCTTCTATTTGTTTTAGGTGACATTTGCCCTTCCCCTGCTGCCACGTGACAGCCTGAAAAGAACACCCAGCAGCCCTGTCTGTCTGTGCACAGAGAACAGGTTCACATGGATGGTACAAAGAAAAACGCCCCATGAGCAAACAGTGAGAGGATTTCCAGGGCAGGCTGACAGGTGGAGTGGTGATGGACAAACCTCCTGTCCCTGGTTCCCCTCTCTGTGTCTCCAGCCCCAGAAGAACGTTTAGCAAGCCTGTGCACACCAGAGTGCTGAGCTCAACCTTACAAAGAGCAGCCTGGCTGGGAGAACACCAGGCAGAGCCGCCGGATCCAAATCCCTGTTGTACTTACTTCCAAACTGTCACTCCCATCAGCCTCTCTGTCTATTATGTCAAAAATATCTTCGTGGATCTTTTCTCCCTGCAAGAGAAACCAGACCTGGTTTTGTTCCTTTCCCACAGAACGTGGAGAAGAGCTGCTCAAGCCTGCTGTGATGCTAAGTCAGACTGGCAGCGTGACCCAGTGCCCCATGCCCAGTGTGCCACAGTCCCTGCCAGTGAGTGGGACTGAGCTGCACGAGGAGGTCATGAAAAAACCCTAATCCCTGCGTCTCACCCAGCAGCACCAGGGCTGGTACCTGCGAGAAGCCACTGGCCCAGTTGTTCCCAGCTCCCCCTCCGTGCTCAGACAGGTAAATGTTTTCTGGGTTGTACAGGTTGGCGTAGGGAGAGTTGAGGATGGAGTGGATGACGCGGGGCTCCAGGTCCAGCAGCACGGCCCGTGGGATGTAGTGCTCATCGTCGGCCTGCAACGGGAGCAGGAGGATCTCACAGCGCTGCTGCAGCCCGGGAAGGGGGAGCTTGAGCAGCACAGCACAGCCAGGCCTGGCGAAGGGGAGGAGGGAGGGAGAGAAGCTGGCTCTGCGCAGCCTGAGCCCCGGAGCATCCCCAGCACGGGCGGGGGCGTTCTGGGTGCTTACATAAGGCACCGCCAGTGGCAGCGCCTCGTGCCGCCGCTCCGCCCACACAGCGCTCCGCGGACACACCGGGAGCGCGGGCGGGAGCCGTCACTGGCTGCGAGCGGGAGGCTGGGCTGAGCCACCGCTCTCGGTGGCCCGCGGGGGCTGCGGAGAGGGCTGGGGCAGGCACGGACAGCCCGCAGCCCAGCGGGGCCGAGGGCAGTACATCCCATGCGCTGTGTCCGCCCCTCCCGGCCCGGGGACGGCGGGTACCTGGTAGAAGAAGACGTCCTTGCGGTCGGTGCCCTCGGTGGCGAACTCCTCCACGATGCCCTCGGGGCTGATGCCGTGCTCGGCGCAGAGCTGCTTCCAGAACTCGAACCCGACTGCGGGAGGGCGCGGTCAGACGGGACGGGCTGGGCACCGACACCGGTACCGGGAGCGGGGCAGGGCCCGGAGAGGCCCGGTCCGCAGGTCCCGCCCCGCCCCACAGGGCCCCGTCCCGTCCCGTCCCACAAAGCCCCGCCCCACCTCACAAGGCCCCGCCCCACCTCACAAGGCCCCGCCAGTTCCCCCCCCATCCCCAAAAGCATCCCGGCCCCGCCCGGTGCGCGCTCACTCTGGTTGCCGCACTGGCCCAGCTGCAGGGTGATGATCTCCCGCGGCATCGCGGCCGAGGCTCCGCTCAGCTCCGCTCCGCTCCGCTCCCGCTCCCGCCGCCCGCCCAGCCCCGGCCCCGCCGCGTCTCCCGCCGGCGCCAGCGGCAGTGCGCGCGCGCGCGCCTCTCGCACTTCCGGGGCAGCGCCGCTCGCCCCCCCTACGCGCTCCTCCAGCCCCTACAACGCGCCTGCGCCAAGATGGCGGCGCCCAGCGCGGCGCTGTCGCTGCCGGCGGCGGGGGCCGCCATGCCTGCGGCGGGCGCGCGCGCGCGGCGGGCGGGCGGATGTTGACGCCGTGAGGGAGCGATGGCGGCGGCGGCGGCGGCGGTGGCGGGGCCCGGGTTCGGGCCCGGCGAGCGGCAGCGGCGAGTGCAGGCGCTGAGCGCGGCGCTGCGCGGCCGCCTCGGGCCGTACGAGCCGCTGCTGGGCGCCCTGCAGGCCGCGCTGGTGTGGGAGCGGCCGGGCCGCAGCGCGCTGTGCTGGGCGGTGCTGCACGGCCTGTTCTGGTGAGCAGCGGCGCCGGCACCGGCACCGGGCCGCGCAGGGCGGGCGGCGGGGCGGCCCGGTGCCACCATCGCCGGGGCTGCGGGAGCTCGGAGGGGCGCGGGGGAGCCTCCCCCGGGGAAGGACGGGTTTGGGCCGCGGCCCGTTCGGACAGGAGGGATCAGGGAGCGCTCGGTCGGCTACAGCCCCGGCCCCCTCCGTGTGCTCCCCTTGTACCGGGGAGCATCAAACCAACCGGGAACAGCCAACCTGCGCTGTGGCGTTCCCGGAGGGCGGCGGGCACCGCTTGACTGGGACAGGGGGCTGTCCCGGTAGAACTGACACGAGCAGTCAAGAGCCCCCCGGCAGCTGCTCCCCTCAGTGCTGACTGAGTAGCACCTTCTCTCCAAGAGAAGACTGGTTGGTTTTGGGTTGGTTCGTGTTACCCATTTATGCCTGGCCAGTACCGACCCCTTTTGTTTCTTCCTCACAGGTTCTTTGCTCTGACTTCCCTTCGTTTGCTTTTCCTGGTTGCATTTACCCTCATGGTAGTAGTGTGTATAGACCAGTGGAAGCACAAAATCTGGCCAGAAATTGGAGGTAAGTTGCAGCATTTGAGCTGATAGCAGCAAATCAAGCCCTGTTTCCAGCCCCAGCTCTGTACTGTCTGCAGTTAAATTATTGAAACCTGGGTCTTTTGCTTTGAGGGTCTAGAAGCCATCAAGAATACTGCAGGCATGTTCTTCCTGGAGCTGGAAGATTCTAAACTATGTGAACATAAGACCTTTTTTGTGCTTGTGATGCTGGTATTTGTCTTGTAATCCTGAACCACGGGGTGTACGTGACCTAGTGCAGGTCTCAGGCAGCGATTCACTTTCTGAGCATTAAGTACCAGAGCAAGAAATCGAAAAGTATGTGTAACTCATCTGGATTTCTCCTCAAAATCCACAATAATCCAGTTTAGCATGAAGATGAGTCCCAGCTTTGCTGTTGAACAGAGATTTCTTTGGGAGGAGAGGCATCTGAACAGCTGTTAATGAAGCTAGTCCTAAGCTTTCAGTAACCAAAGCAGTCATGTCCCTCCTTTGTGACATTAATACACTGATGAATGACCCCATTCCAAACAGGCTGAGGTCTCTTGGCTTTGCATGGATAGGTGGGTTTGGAGCAGTGTAGGGTCTGCATGCTCCCAGGGCTGGTTCCCTGACTAACCAACAAATTCAGCTCTCAGCTTTCTGCTTCAGCCCATGTTCTCTGTAGTTCCTGGGAAGACATTACAGCTTTCCTCGGTTTTGGAGCTTGGATCAGGCCCCCTCTTAAGCAGCACTGTCTGTCCAGCTCCCTCATCTGCCTGATTTTGGTCTCTTAGGATAGATAGTACAGCCTTTGGTCACTTTTCAAGTCCCAGCCTCAGTGAGAAAGTATCAAGAACCTTAAATCCCTGATGCCTGCAGGCTATTCCTGCTCCCTGGCTGGTGTGGGGGAGAAGGAAGTGATGTTTTGGCCAGAGCAGCCTCCAGTGTCCAACAAATACCGAGGAGCAACAGGGAGACTCTTGCAGTCCTGTGCTGTCACACGTACACACTCAAGACGTGTCATGGAGCGATGCGTCTCCATCCTGTAATTAATGTCTTTTCCAGGTGTTCCCCAGCTCATTAAAGCTTTACTTAAATCCCAAGAGCTACGCATTCCCATGGCAAATTCCTTGCAACTAATGTAGTGTCTGTTCTTAATATTTTAGTGGCGAGACCTGACGAATTAGACAATGAGAGGTAGGAAACTAATTGACTCCTCTGCTGTTGATACTTTGCTGTGATACTGTGTCATTGCCTGCACATGCTTGGAATATCAGCTCCTTGGGGCGAGGAGGAGGTGGGGGGAGAAGGGAGGATGAAGCCCGGGATGCTGTCAGGCAGCCGTGAGAAGCTTTTGACTTGCTCAAGCCTTTGTATTATACTTCATCTTTGCTTCATACCAGCTTCCAGTGATGCTTGCTTGATCCCCTGACCCCTGAAGTTAAGAGGCGCTACCTTGGAAGCAATTCCTCTTGTATGGGCCTCCAGCAGCGGGAAAACAGCATTTCTGTGGGAATTAATGAAGTCCTCTGAGACTCGATAGGGAATGTTAGGCAGGCTTGTTCCAGCAGTTGTTCCTGCATAGTTATGGTCTGACTTGCAGCGTTAATAATGGGTTGAGAAATGCTGAGGTGTTGCCTCAGTGCTCACACCTGCCTCCCTGGGCACACCTTCCTGCCGCCACTGCCAGGCTGTGCTGGATGTCAGCACCCAGTTAAGTCACCCGAGCTGGCGCCAGAGGTCACTTGTCTTTGTTCAGTTTTTTAAGAGGCCCAAGCACAAAAGGAATTGCTCTTCCTTAACCTTCAGGTACTCGTGACCAGCAGTTAAGAGGCACTAACAAAGCTCACCAATTCAAGGCCTCCAGAGTAGCTATGAAGTGAGGTGCAAGGCTGCTCCCAGACCTCGTGCTAAACTCTTGGAGGATACAGCTGAACAAATAACTGCAGAAAAAGTAAATGGATTCAGTTGATTTGCCTCTATACTGCCCATTCCCTCCAGCAGCATGGAGACTAGTCCATGCCACTGACTGAAATTCCTGCTCCTTGGCTGCTGTGGGAATGCTGGGACACCGGTAGAGCAGTTGTAGACAAGCTGCTTTGGGCAGGACGGTGCTTGGTGGGCAGGTGACCCTCATCTCTAGAGCTGTGCGCTGGGGAGGAAGAAGCATTGAGGCAAGTTGTTTGTTAACAAGGGACTTCAGCACTGACACTGATGCAGTAATATCTGTTCCCAAATTCTGTCTTCGCTGCAGCTGGGGATATGTCCACCCTCGGCTGCTGGGAGTGCCAGAGCTCTGTCACCATTTGGCTGAAGGATGGGTGGCTGCGACCAACTTCTTAAATAATCTTCTCATTTTCAAGAGGCAAAGCCCTGGCAAGGTAGGAATGTACAGACCTCAGAAATAACCTGTTTGGTGTGGAGCCTCTGTTGACCACAAGGATCCTCTTGTGCTGGCAGTGCTTGACTGAACATGTTTAGGCATGGGAGGTTGCCATGGGAGGTCTCCCACAACACCGTGGCTGTTTGGTGGGGAGGAATGGAAAGCACAGGCAGAACGATCAGGTTCTAGAGGAGGGAGGAGAAAGTGAGGCCACTACTTAACCTTGGAAACTCACTGTGTCCCGTGTCTTCAGTTTTGCCTTCTAGTGTGTGGAGTCTTCACTTTCCTGGCTGTCCTTGGCCGGTATATCCCTGGACTCTTGCTCTCGTACTTGCTGTGTAAGTAGATCTCTGTGCCAATACAGACATAAGGTGTGAAAAGGGATGAGGGATCTGAATGTGCACAAAAGGAAAGCTTGTGTGAATGGCTTTAAAATTTAAAATAATACACTCTGCCTGGAACGTGGCGGTTCTCGACCAGGACTCGAAGTCTGATCTGGAGAGAACATGTTTGAGTGCTCAGCAATCACAGATCTGAGCACTGACCGCTTGGCCTCTCAATTTGGTTAAATTGGCAGAGGCGACGGTGCCAGTTCTCCCGGCCTCCTGCAGCACTGTCCTCAGTGCCCGGGTCTGCCGCACTCTGCGTGTTGTGCTGCATCACAAAACGGGCGGGATGCTCGCCAAGCAGCATCCTGACCAACCTTCTAACGTGCGTTCCCAGTGCTCCTCGTCCTGCTGTGGCCCCTCGCCGTGTACCACCGGCTGGGGCAGCGCATGTACCTGCGGCTGGAGCCGGCTCTGCAGCGGCTGGACTTCAGCGTCCGGGGATACATGATAGCCCGGCAGCGGGAGAGGCAACGTGAGTGCTGTGCCCTTTCTGACCCCTCAGACCTTGGCCCTTGGTGCCTGAGATGGGCTGTGAAAGGAGCCCCCCCGGCCCTGGCAGGGGGTAGGACTGCATGTCTTGGCATGGCAAATTCTTGGAGCTGCCTCGGGAAGGGAGTGAGGCGGCTCTGCCTCCACAGCCGCCTCCCAGGGAGCAGCTGCCATGGGCTCTTCGAGGTGCTGAGCTGCTCCAGTTCTCGGCTGCCAGAACTCTGTGTTCCATGTGATGGTTGCGCAGAGAAAGGAGGAAGGGATCAGTGCAAGGGAGTGCTAAAACATGTTCATCTCGGCAAAAAACCTGCCGCAGTCAGGAATTACCGCGGCTCTGCTGAGGAACAGAGCTGGCTCTGCTGTCCTGTGTCCAGCTTGGGGTGTTGTGGTTCTGCACAGAGCCCTGTCCCAGCAGCAGTAACAGCTTTGGCTCTGGTTTCTGGCAGAGCGTGCCCGGGCCCTCGGTCAGGAGGCCACGGACGATGGGAGCGACAGTGAAGAGGAGCTGGCTGCATTCTGCCCCAAGGTAATGGAGTGTCTGGGAGAGGGGAGAGCTTGGCTGGACAGAACAAACAAGGTGGCTGAATGTGATGGGAGAGCAGATGAGGACACTCCCCTTTCAGAGAGGTCTTTCCCACTCTGTCCCCACTCTAGGATGTCCAGAGCTGCTTGTGCCAGCTGCAGGCTCCTAGGCTGGGCAGTAAACATGAATGAGCCTTAGGTACCAGCCTTCTGTGAGGGCCAAGTTTAACTAAAGGCCACTGGATCATCTATTTTGTCTTGAGGTACAGGAATAAGCTCTCCAATGCTGATGTTTTCAATTTTATGTCCTATTTCAAAGCTGGATGACTCTCTGGTCGCCAAGGAACTGACCATCTCTGACTCGGAGCATTCAGATGCTGAGGTTTCCTATACTGAAAATGGGATGTTTAACCTTTCGAGGGGCCAGACTCCCCTGACAGAGGGATCAGAAGGTGAGAGGAAATGGGCAGCTTGTGGAAGGTGTGGAATGCCAAACAGGCGCCAGTGTGACGGGTTGGAGGGCGGATGTGCTGTTACCTCATGCCCTTGAAGTCTGGCTCTTTGAAGTCAGCCTCGCTGCTGCAGATGAGCTGCAACTGCCTGTTTTGTTCAGAGTGTCCTCCTTCATTCCTGTGGTGCTTGGCTAGAGCTCTGCAAAGGCAGATCCAGCTCTGCCAGTCTGGCTGTGGGTGCAGAAGCAGCGTGGTTGGGGGTGTGGGTGCTCCCCTCTGGCAGGTGGCTGGTTTGGCACCCGCATTCCTTGTGAATGAGCTGGGAGATCGGTGGGATCTGAATAGCTGGGATGAGGAGGAGGGCGACGTTGAGGAGCGTGTGGTCTGTGAGATGCCAACAGTCTGCCCCGGGGAGGTGCTGGCCCAGCTCCTGATGGAGCCTGCGGGTGCTGGGTGAGTGCCAGCATTTAAAGCACTTTCTCCTCTTCCAGACCTGGACGGACACAGTGACCCAGAGGAGTCTTTTGCAAGGGATCTCCCCGACTTCCCTTCCATAAACCCAGAAGCAACTGGCATAGATGACGAAGACGACACCAGCATTGGGATCCCGAGCCTGGCATACCGCCCACAGGGGACAGAGGATCTGCATCTCCCGTACGACCAGGACGACTCTGGTGTGCTGCCCTCGGTGCAGAATCTCACCAACAACATCGCTGGCTTTGTCACCAGGGGGATGATCCAGCTGGCACTGTCAGGAGCCCCTCAGCCAGGCTCCTCACGCAGCACCAATCCCCAGAGAGGGGCAAAGACTCACCTCAGAGCAGTCAGCTCGGACTTGGACACTGATGCCGAAGGGGATGATTTTGAACTGCTGGATCAGTCTGAGCTGAACCAGCTGGATCCTGCTGGCTCCCGAGGCCAGTAAGCCATCCCATCACTTCCCTCTGGTTTTCTATTGTGCGTCACGGAGGGAATCCTGGAAGGAGAAGCCTTGCACAGTTCTCTCAATCGTCTCCTGTGAGTCTGAGTGACGTGACAGCCAGTCCTGGCTGGGAACATCACTGTGACTTGTGACTCTGTAGCCTCGCTTGGATTTTAAAATAAAGGACGCTGGTAATCCCTAGGGAGAGACGTTGATGGGATAGGTCCACAATCACCCTGTGCTGTCTGCCAGGATGCTGCCTGCTCCAAACTTCCTCACCTAAGACAATAAATGTGGTGTCTGCAGCTCTCGAGGCCGGTGGGACCGACGGCATTGCCAGGGACAATCGTGCACTGACCTCTGGGGCTGATGCACAACCAGGGGAACAGGATGGGGCCCTTCAGGCTTGGTGTCTGGGACTCAGTGCTGATCTGTCTCAGACAGCCATCCCTGCTCCTAAAACGTTCACAAATCCAAGTCTTCTCTCCCAGCAATATCCAGCTCCAGGTGGAACCAACCCCCTTGCTCCACTGTGGACGTTTTGCAGCCGCAATGTTTTCCTTGCACTGACCACTCACTCCCTCAGCTCCAGCTCCTCGTGATGCTGTTCTTTAAGAGCTCGATGGCAATAAGACAGACACCTGCTGTGACCACCAGAGTCCTGCAAGAACATCCACGTGTGGCCCCCTGCTCTTGTGTTGCTTTCCTGAACTAACAGCCTTTGTTGAGAGCCAACTAACACTTTGCTAGAACTCCCTGTGCTCCTACCCGCGTGTTCCTGTGCGCAGGGCCGAGGTTTCCTGGAGGAGGGAGGCGGTGGGACAGGGGTGCCCGGCCAGTGGTGTGTCCCCCTGGCCCTGTTGTGTTCCAGCCTTGTGCAGGGAGAATCCAGCAGGGGGAACCGGACCGGTCCCATGAACAAACCAGCAGGCCCCGGGGAGAGCCGCCCCCTCTGTGCCCGCCGAGCTCCCCCTGCCCTTGCTTTTCCTAAGCCATAGACCCGGTTCTGATCACGTTTGTGCAGCCAAGAACGTACCTCGGCAGGGACCCCGTTACCGGCTTCTGTTTGTCTGACTCCTCTGCGGACAAGGGGGGTGGCGGGGCGGGGCGGCAGGCTCAGACCCGGGAGCGGGGGTCGGTAACGGGTTATTCCAGAGGGGCGTGAGGCGGCTCACGGGCCTGGGGGCGCGGGCGCGGGTGCCGTGGGTCCCGCGCGGGGCTGGGCTGCACCGGAGCTCCGCCCCTCCCGAGGCGCGGCTGCCCCGCCCACCGGCACCGCCCCGGGCCCCGTTCCCGGTTGGGCGGAGCGCGCCGGAAGTGCCGCCAGCGGCGCCAACCGGGACCGGAGCGGGGCGGGAGGAGCGGGATGAGCAAAGGGCGCGAGGCCGCGGCGGGCGGTGAGTGCGGGCCGGGCCGGGGGGTGGATGAGGGAGGAGGGAGTGGATGAGGGAGGGGAGGCCCCGGCGCGGCCGCTGCGATGCCAGAGGAGGCCGCGGTGACCGGGGCCGGCCCCCACAGGAGGCTCCGCCTCCGCCGTCCTGCTGCGGTACCTGCGGGAGCAGAACCGTCCGTACAGCGCCCAGGACGCCTTCGGGAACCTGCAGCGGGAGCACGGGCTGGGCAAGACGGTGAGCGGGGCCGGGCCGGGGCGAGGCGGGCCCGGTCCCAGTCCCCGTCGCGGCTGACGGCGCGTCCCGCAGGCCGTGGTGAAGGCGCTGGAGCAGCTGGCGCAGCAGGGCCGCGTTCGCGAGAAGGCCTACGGGAAGCAGAAGATCTACTTCGCCGACCAGGTGAGCCCCGGCCGCGGGTGCCCCCTGCCCGCTCCAGCCCCCCCCTGACCCCCGCTCCCCGCAGGAGCAGCTCCCGGCCGCCAGCGATGCCGAGCTCCGCGGGCTGGACGGGGAGATCGCCGCCCGCTCCGCACAGCTGCAGGCGCTGCAGCAGAGCTGCCGGCACATGGAGGCGGGTGAGTGCGCCCGGACGGCCCCGCGGGCTCAGTGACAGGCTCAGGTCCTGGCTCAGCAATCATCGGGAGGGCCCCAGGGCACGGGGCAGCTGTGCCCCAGTGCCAGCGGGCAGCCCGGCCGGTGAGTGGTGCCGCCTCCCCAGAGCTCAAGGACCTGAACAGCTCCATGACAACCCCCGAGATGGTCAAGGAGATCGAGGCGCTGAGGAAGGACTGTGCCAATTACACGGAGAAACTGGAGAGGATTAAATCTGCCACCAACCATGTGACTCCGGAGGAAAAGGAGAAGGTGAAGAGCTGCCGGGGCTGAACCTGGTGCTGGGCCGGGCCTCTGCCAGGATCCAGCACGACCCTGACGGGCATTCCCGACGTGGTGCCGTTGGCAGGTGTGCCAGGAGCAGCAGCTGTACCGCCGGGAGTGGCGCCGGAGGAAGCGGATGGTACTGGCTGGGGGGCTGGGGGTCAGTGCTGGCCCTGCTGGCATGGGCCCCACAGAGCCCCTCACATGCCCTGTCTCGTCAGGCCACCGAGCTGCTGGACGCCATCCTGGAGGGGTACCCCAAGAGCAAGAAGCAATTCTTCGTAAGTACCAAGGCTGGAACCTGCCTGGGGCTGCTGAGCCGGGCCCTGACCTGCCCTGACCCACCGGTGCTGTACAGGAGGAAGTCGGGATAGAGACGGATGAGGAGCACGGCGTGGTGCTGCCAGCGGCCCTGTGAGGGGCTGGGGGAGCCTTTGCCCCGGGGAGAAGCTGCTGCTGTGGAGCTGTTGCTGAAACTCGGCTGTTGGGTTGTTCTGCTTCTCTTTTTGCAGGACTTTGCAGGGCTCGTCCCATGTGTTTAAAATTCTTTTGCAGTTGGAAGGGTGGTAGGTGGGAGAGACTTGGCACTGGCCCTCTCCTTGCAGAGGGATGTTGTTTCTTCCTGCCCCTCAGCACAGGGAGCTGCCAAACTGGGGTCCAGTGGGGCTGAGGGGAGGTGTGGGGGCACTGGTGCTCCGGTAAGGAAAGAGAGTGAGGGACTGTCAGGGCTGCAGAGCTCCGTGTGTGATCCAGCCCCTTCTTGCCCCGTGCCTGAGTGGTCACCCAAGAATATGATCCATTAAACACCAGAATTTTGGTTCAGCTGTGCTTCTCTATGGTGTTTGTCTGTTCAGAGGGTGTTAGGACAGGGTTTGGGTCATGAGGGGTAAGAGCCACGAGAGGGTAACACGAACCTCAGAGGCTGGAATGGATTTCTGGAAACTACTGGCTCTAGGGCCCAGCTCCAGGAACACAGCAGCAGAGAAATCACCAAAACATTCAGCAACATTTATTTAATTACTTTTCTCAATAGAAAAATACGTCACTTTCATGTGTGAGGTCTGTAAAGCTCCTCATCCTCCTCCCAAGGTAGGAAGCAACACTCCCTCCTCAGCTCTGGGAAAAAAACAGCCTGAAATAAACACTCCCTGGCTGTGCCCCTGGAGCTGGAGCACAAACGTGGTTATGGAGAACAAATCCCACTATCCCTTTACTCTGGGCAGTGACCAACCCTCACCTGGGCAGAGCTGTGACCCAAACTGGGCAGGAGACAGGGGCAAAGGTGTCCCTGAGAGCAGCTGCCTGCACAACTGGCACTGGCAGCACTCCAGGACCGTTTCAGTGATTTACAGAAATGAAAATCAAATCAAGGCTGATCAGGGATGTGTGTGTATAAAAATTCTAAGGAGGGGCAGCGAGTGCACGTGGCCACATTGTGCTGCAGCTGCAGAACATTCTGTGCAGCACAGCCACCCCGAGAAGGAGCTGGACACGTTCCAGCGCTCGCAGGAACTTCCCATGTCCCTGTGAGGGAACCCACAGCTGCAGGAGCACCCTGGCCCTGAGGGGGCTCATCCTGCTGCCAGCACTGACAGGTTCCCCCAAAACACAACATCTGCTTCAGAGGGAGGTGGGAGATAGCCCAGAAGTTGGGGAGAACCTATTCCTGCTGTTTCACCAGAAACCCACCGTTTTTAGCACACATTCATCACGTTTCCCCAGCCAGGGTCAGCGGGGCTGTCAGAGGCCTGAGGGCACGGAGCAGAGCTGCTCTGGGGTCAGCTCTGCAGGGAGAGCCGGTGGCACAGGCAACCCCACAGCACTGCCTGAGCCACAGACTCTGCCCCCACTCCTCTGCTCCACACTCCCTTTCCCTCCCCCCTTGCCCAGTCCCTGCCAAGACTCGGGAACACCGACTGGAGCAGCCGTGTCGGCACGGCCGCCCTCGGGCTTCGGAGGGAATACAATAAATAATTCAGAAAAGCTCAAAAAACAGCCACGAGGGAGAGTGCCCAGGGGGGTGCCTGTTCCCCAGGCCCCTGGGCAGGAGGTGCCCCCATCCCCATGGGCACAGAGGCGGCAGAGGAGGCTCAGTAGAGCTGACTCTTCACCTGGTGCAGAACCCCGATGACAATGTCCCGCAGCGTCTGCAGCAGAGAGGGAACATGGTCAGTTGGTCTGTGGGGGAACAGCCACCCCCATGCCACTGCCTCTCCCCCTGGGCCATGGCACCAGTGCTCACCTGGGGCTTGCAGTGCTCCTCGATCCAGCTGAACACACACGCTGAGAGCTCCTGGAAACTTGTTACAGAGATGGAGGCATTGAAGGACTGGAACAGGGAATCCATGATGCCTTGGAAAACGTTGAATTTCACCTCATCGGAGACCTGGTCCTTCCCCTCATTTGGGTTGTCCTGATGAGCTTTCACGATCTGCTCGTAGTTCCTGAAACAAGTATGGGGCCCTGAGGTCAGCAGTGAGGCCTCTGCACCCAGCTCCTGTTCCTGAGCTCCTGCTGCCACCTCCCACACCCAGCTCCAAGCTCCAGGCCTATCCCCAGCCAGAGAACCTCTGGATGACCCCTGGCAGCTCTTCCCTTACACTTTCATGATCTTCAAGGCCATCACATCTTTCCTGAGGGTAGAAACTTCCTCCTCCTGCTTCTTCTTTTCCTTGTGCAGGAACTGAATGTAGTCAATGGCTGAGCACGAAAACGCAGAGTGAGGATTTGGGAGCACACACAGGCCCCTGAGACCCCCACAGGAGGTGCCCAAGCACCCCAGAGCCTCATCATACCACAAGGTCCCCAGGTGCTGAACTCTGCCCTGCACAGCTCTAGGGAGGCATTCTGGGGGGGGTCAATAGCACCCCATCCATCTCCCCACCCCTTGGGACTCACTTTTCTGGAGGACAATGGCCTTGCTCAGCTTCTGGGAGCCGATGGAGAAATCCTGCTGCTCGCAGGTGGGGACGATGGCCTGCAGGTCATCGTAGCCTTTCTGGGGGGAAGCAGAGCCACAGCCCGTGGAGCTCACCCTGTGGGGCTGGGCCCACACCCAGCTCCCCCCACACAGCCCATCAGGGCCAGGGCAGCTCCCTGCACACGAGGATCCCCTTGGGGAGGGCAGATCCAGCAGCTCAGCAGGGGCAGTGCTGGGTGGGCTCTCCCCTCACCTTGATGGCGTCACGGCGCTTCTGCTCGGCCTGGGTGTGGGCGCGGCGGCGCCGGTCCTTGTAGGACTCCTTGTAGGGCTCCTGGTGGTAGTCGCTGTCCTCGTCGTCTGCAGGGACAGGGCACGGCCCGGGGGTGAGGAAGCAGAGGCACAAGGGGGCTGTGGCAGCTCCAGGCCCAGCACAGCCCCTGCCCCACTCAGCTCCTGCAGGCTGGGCCAGGGGCAGCGCCCCACAGACCTCGGAGCTGCACAGGGGGCACCTCCTGTTCCCACCACCTCCCTCCTCCTCCTCAGCGTGGGAACCTGCCCAGCCCCCTGGGCAGAGCTGCAGCCCGGCAGGTGCTGGGCTCCCCCGAGAGCAGAGACACAGCGGTCCCGGGCCAAACCCCACCTGTGTTGGGGACAGAGGAGGCGCTGGTGGAGCCGATGCTGTTGGCCCGGGACACTATGCTGCCTTTCCGGGCGTTCTCCATGAAGAACGCTAAAAGGAGAGCGTCCCGGGGTCAGCGCCCAGCGCGGGGTGTCACTGGGCGCAGGAGAACGGGGGGGAGGGGGCGTCCCCGCTGCCATCCTGTCGGGGGGGGTGGCACCTACCGGAGTCCAGGCCATTGTCGCCGTAGGCCGCGTCCACCTGCACGGGGCCGGTGGAGACACGTCAGCGGGGCCGGGCTGCGACCGTCCCCCCGCCCAGGCATCGACCCCCGCGCGTTCCTCGCCCCGGTGCTCGCCCCGCCCGCCCTCCAAGGCGCCCGCCCGCCGCCCCGGCGACGCTCCCGGCCCGGCCCGGCCCCACCTTCCCCCAGGGCTCCTCGCCCCCGCCCGGCGGCTCCGCCATCTTCCGCCCGCCCGCTCATGTGACCGCCGCGGGGGCCGACGGGAACCGCGTCCCGCCGCCAGGGGGCGCCCGCGCCTCGGGGTTGGTGTGACGTCACCCTCGTGACGTGATCCCGACGATGTGATCTTCCGTGACGTCATCGCCGCCGCAGCACCGGGGGCCACGTCCATAACGGCAGCTCGGAGGGGCCGGGGGCACCCGAGCCCCTGTGGAGGTGGAGGAGGGGGTGGGTATGGAACCGGCACAGGGACACGGGACCGGCACACGGACATGCACAGTGGGAGCAGCCTCTTTACTGGCTCAGCCCTGCAGAGTCCCCTGAACTGGGGGACATCAGGATGCCCCGGCCCCCCCCTGGAGCTGGATGGGCTCGGTGGGCTCGGTCCCGCGCCGCTCCATCCGCCGGCTCTCGCGGGGCAGTGGTGGACACGGACCCTCCCGGGGCCATGCAGGACTGCCCCTCACCTCACAGGTGGGGCTCATGGCTGGGCTCTGGGCGCAAGCGCTGCTGCAGCAGGTCCCAGGCCTTCTGCACCTGCCAGAGAACCACCCGGGGCGGCACCTCAGAGCCCACGGACCCCCAGAGCGGCACCTCGGCATGGGGTCACACAGGGCTCCCACACCTCCTCTCCCTTCCCAGCTGCCTCTGCATCCCCAAATCCCTCCCTCGTGGCCGTGTCCAGAGGCAGCCTCGACCGTGAGAGCGCACCCAGGCACATGGTGCCCAGCCCGGGCACAGCACGGAGCCCTCCAGTCCCCTGGGACATCCCCAGCACCACGGCATCCCCGAGCTCACCTGCTGCCGGGTGATGTCCGGCTCCCAGAGGGTGCAGAGCACCACCTGCGCCCGCTCCACCCGCTGCCTGTTGGTCATCTGGCTCTGCAGCCGGCGGCGAGCGGCCTCCTCGCTCAGCCCGTCCCTGGCCACAATGCGCCTCACGGCCTGGCAGGGACACAGGGGACACTCAGGGGAGGCCAAGGACCAGCTCTGGCAGCGAGCAAGGGGCCCAGGGCATGGCCCACCTCCTCCTCTGGGATGATGGCCGTCCACACCTCGTGGACCATGTCCTCCCACCCGGCCTCCAGCAGCACGGCAGCGTCCAGCACGCACACGGCCTTCCCTGCGGAACGAGGGCATTCCTCAGTGCCTGGCCATGGATGGAGAGACAGCTCCTCGGCTCTGGCCCAGCCCGGGCTCAGTTCCCCCCCTTCCTGCAGCACAGACACTTCGCTGCTGAGCTGAGGCTGCGATGGAGCTGCCCCCATCACCTTGAGCGTCGGCCTCCCGGATCTGCTCCCTCACCATCCGGGCTATCTCGGGCCACACAATGTCCGTCAGGCTCTTCAGCCGCTCCTACAAAGGACCAGGGCAGGATTCAGGATTTGCTCCCTTACCCTCAGAACTCCTGGGAAGCCAACAAGGGGATGGTGGCTGTCAGCAGCCAGGGGGCACCCAGGAAGGTGAGGGGGTTTTATTTCCCTGGCCCTGCCAGGCACAGCAGACCCTCAGTCTCTGCTGCCCCTCAGCACGGTGAGGGGCTGGTGCAGCAGCACCCACACGAGACCCATCCACCCAGGGGACCCCTCAAGCTGCCTCCACCTGGGGCTAGGGCAGCGCTGGAGCCACGGGCTGAGCACTGACCCCACCAGCAAGGCCAGGTGTCACTGAACCCCCTCCCCAGGTACAAGGGGCAGAGAGCACCAGCTCCACATTAACCAGGGCTGTTGCTCTGCACTGGGTGAAGAAAAAGCATGGGATAGAGGGGATAGGGATGGGAACAGGGAGGCAGCAGCTGCTGAAGGGCAAGAGGACTATGTCCAGCACAGCTGCTGACTCAGCTACAGGGATGGGATCTGTCCTGCCCTGTCACTGACAGGAAGTGCAGCCAGGAAGGTGTCATCAGTTCAAAGGGCTGAAAACTAAAAAGCCTCAACACAAGGGGAGAGCTCCCCTGGCTCATGGGATTAAATACTGAGCCTCCATGCTGCTTTTACCTGGTTTCCAAACACTTTGGCCCCAAGGACTTTCCTGTTAATCATCCCATCTTCGTTCAAGATCTCTGCAAGACAGAAGCACAACAGGTTTGGGAGGAACAAACCCAACTCCCATCCCTGGGGTAAGCCTGGGTCAGGGAAACAGCTTTGGCACAGGGCTCTCAACGGGACACAGAAAGGGCCTTGTAAGACCTGACCCGGCAGCTCTTCACCTGATTCATGAGAAGGACAGGGAAGAGCTCATCCCAGGCAAACAGCAGCCCAGTTCAGCCTTCCCCACCAGCAGTTCTGACATGGGACACACCATATTTGGGCGGCCCAAAACCCATGGGGCAGGAGGGGGTCACAGGCCAGGGCTCCTTGTGATGTTGGGACCCCCCTCCCTCCCGCTCCTCCTCCCAGCCCTCCCCACAGCCTCTGGTGGCTCTACCTGCCCCAAAGGCTGCCACCACCTGCTCGTAGGCCGGGCCACCGGGGGCATAGACGGCGTGGCCCAGCTTGTCAGCATCGATGACAAAGGCGCCCAGGTGCCCCAGGAGTTTGGCGATGGAGGTTTTCCCACTCCCGGTGCCCCCTGTGAGGCCAATCACATACGGGCGCGACGGCAAGGCCGGGTCTCGCTAAGGGAAGAAGGAAAGCTGTGGCAGCAAAGGGAGGGATGGACTTTGCTGGAGAAGGATCCCAATGCCCCAGCTCTGGAGATGGACATGACAAGCTCTGGTCTGCAGAGCAGCAGGAGCGCTGCCAAAATCTGTGGATCCTGAGACTCCCACCCCTCCTCCCAAGGAGCTCCCATCGCAGCCGTGGTTCTCCCTCACCCGTGGGGGCTGCAGCAGCGTCCCCAGCAGCCTCTGCCGGAGGCTGGAGGAGCTGATTTTCTCCTCCTCGTTCTGTTGGTGGTCAGGGTCCATCAGCAGTTGGATCTCGTGGAGGGCCAGCTCAGGGAGCCCCTGAAGAGAAAAGGAATCCCCAAGAGCCATCAGCCATAAGAGTGTGGTGGGTGAGAGAAACCGAGACCTGATTTGCCCCCGAGCAGTGTCAGGCAGGGGCAAGAGGGGTGCAGGGGCAGCCATGGGCTCCAGGGTGGGAATTACATTTTCAAGTCTCTTCCTATTCACGGCCTCCCCTCCCCGGCGGGTCTCCTCGCTGACCACCAGGCACTGCAGGTGGGGGTCTGTGACTGCGGGGCCGAAGGGGTCAGCCAGAGGCACGATGTCGTAGCTCAGGGAGGGCTTCACGTCCTCCAGGAACTCGCGAAGCTTTGCCGCCCGCAGCTCGTAGGGCTCGATCAGCTCCGGCAGAACCTTGTCTACCAGGTGCCAGGAGGGTGGGGAAAGCACAAGAGTGACAGAGAAACAAGACCAGGAGAAGGGAGACAAAACTCGTTCACGACTTTGAGCAGCTGCTCCCTCCTGCCCTTGCCCCCACTACACCCACACACCTTGCTAGCTGTGGACAGGACACCAGGTCCCCACCGGGTACCCAGTGTCACCTTGCCTGGGTGGCAACCGCTTTGGGTGGGTGGTTGCCAGGACCCCCCGCGTCAGTGGTCCCCCAGACCACCGCCCTGCCCCGGCCAGCACCAGGCTGACCCCTCGGCCACCCCGGACTCACGGCGGAGCAGATCTCCGTCGGCCACCCCGGCCAGGAGCCGCCGCCGGGCCAGGAGGCAGCAGGCGCTGAGCAGGAGCCGGTGGGCGCCGTGGAGCCGGTCGAAGGTGCCGCCGACCGCCACGTCCAAGAATTCGGGGAGCGTCGCGCCGGGATCCTGCTCGGGGTCCCCCTGGGGGTCCCCTCCGCCGGTGTCCTCGCCCAGCAGCAGTGCGGGCAGGCTGGGCGGGCAGCCGTACACGGCCGCGGCCAGGCGCTGCAGCCCGAGCTGCACCGGCTCCGGCGGCCCCGGTGCCTCGGCGGCGGCCGCCAGCAGGACGCGGGGCGGCCGTGCCAGGCGGCGGCCGGGGTCGAGCAGGACGCGCAGGTCCAGCCCCTGCCGCGCCGCCGCCGCCTCGTACAGCGCGGCCAGAGTCCGCAGCAGCGCGGGGCCCGCGGGCGGCGCGGCGGGGCCGGGGCCGGCGGGGCCGCCCAGCCGCAGCCCCGGCTGCAGGTGCACGTACAGCGGCCCCGCCACCAGCCCCGCCGCCGCCGCCACCAGCCCCGCCGCCCGCCGGGGCAGCGCGGGCAGCGGCGCCGTCAGCACCAGCAGCCCCGAGGGGAAGGGCGGCATCGCCCCGCCGGATGCGCCGCCGACCGGAACGGGGACGGCACCGGCAGCGGAACGGCACCGCCTCCCCGGGCGGCCCCGGCGCGGCTCCGCCCGCGGGGGGAGGAGACCGGCAGGCCCGGCCCCGGCACGGCCCCGCTCGGCCGGGACTGGGAGACAGGGAACGGAGCCGGAGCTGTGCGACTGCAAAAGGGCTTTATTGGGGACACGGCAGGACGGAGCCCGCACAGAGCCCGACCCAGCTCCGCTCAGGGTCGGTCCCCGCCGACTTCGCTGCCGCCGAACACGAAGTCGTGCATGGCGCTGACGTACGCGGAGCCGTCGGGGCTGCCGAGCCGCAGGCGCCAGAGAGGGGCGAGGAGCTGGGTGCTGGCGCAGCGCAGGGGTGGGCAGAGGCTGACGATGGCCTCCAGGAACACCTGGCATCGCAGAGGGGTCAGAGCCATCCCCAGCGCGGCTCCACGACCACCCCCGTCCCGCGCGGACTCACCGGCAGGACCTCCTCCACCTCCTGGGCCGCGTCGCGGAACAGGCTCTGGCAGTGCCGCAGGTACCGGCGGTACAGCCCCCGCGTCTCGGCGTCCAGGCCCTGCAGCTCGCTGCCCTCGGGGTCCGGGTACTGTAGGTTGGCCAGGAAGCTGGTGTGGACGGGCCCGCACTCCACCAGTGTCACGCTGCGGGAAGGAGGGCGTGAGACGACACCGCATTCCCAGCCCTGGCATCTCCCCGTCCCGGTGGGTGGTCGGCAGGATCCAGCCCCCGCGGCACCGCCGGCACTCACTGGATGTTGAAGGGACGCAGGACGATGGCCAGGCTCTCGCACAGCCCCTCCACCGCAAACTTGCTGGCGCAGTACACGGCATTGAAGGGTAGCCCTGGGGCAGAGCCGCACTCTGAGCACTGGGGTTCTTCCCTGCGGCTCCCCATGCCCCAGGGTGCCGGGGGAAAGGTCCCACCTTGCAGCCCCCCGATGCTGCTGGAAACAATGATCCGCCCGGCCCTGCGGCGCTTCATGGCAGGCAGGAATGCCTGGATGGTGCGGACGGCCCCAAAGAAGTTCACATCGAAGAGGGTTTTCATGGCCTGGTCAGAGCAGGTCTCCAGGGGTCCCATCAGTCCCACCCCCGCGTTGCAGACTGCTGGGCATGGTGCAGTCAGCTGGGCACTGCAGCCCCCACAGACCACTGAGTGCCAGAAGGCAGGAATGGGGGGGCCTTTTCCTGCTGATGGCTCCTTGGCACCCCCAAACCCATCTCCTGCACCCCTCCCCTGCTGAACACATCCCATCCCAGCCCCAGGACTGCTGGCATCTCCTGTGATTTGGCATCTACATATTCTGGAAGGGCTGTGACCCTGGAGATGTCCCCCTCAGCCACCCAAGGGACAGCAGGGACAACAGCAAGAGTCATACCCAACACGTCCAGGCGCTGCTCCTGCACCCGCTGCGCAGCAGCTGCCAGCGAGTGCGGGTCGGTGACATCGAGCTGCAGGAGCTCCAGCGTGTCAGGGCAGCGGCTGCCCAGGTGCTCCAGCAGCCGCTCGCCCTTGGCCAGGTCGCGCATGGTGGCGTAAACTGGGGAGAGAGTGCGGCCACGGGCAGCAAGGCCACAGAGCCCACCCCCCCAGGGCTGACCCCAGCCCACCCCCAGGCACTGTCTGTCCTTGTTGAGGTGCTGCCTGGCCCAGCCTGGAGACCCCCAGGGGTGCTGGAGCCCCCGGGGTCAGCGCTGTCCCTTTACCTTTGAACCGGTGAGCGCTGTCGGCCGCCAGGCGAGCGGCCAGTCCCAGCCCAATGCCCGAGGAGCAGCCCGTGATCAGCACCGTGGTTCTCTCCATGGCCCACAGTGCTGGCCGAGGGGGCCATGCTGCTTATGAGGGCTGGGAGGAGGGTCCCCCCACCCCACCTCACATTGTTGTGTCTGCTGCCTTATCTCAAGGCCCCTCCACCGACCGCCCTGTGCGTGCCTGGGGCTCCCTGCGCCTTGATGCTCTCGCAGGTGCTGCGATAACGACCCTTGTGGGGGGAGGCTCTGGGGCACAAGGGGAGCCGCAGCCCCGGGGAATCCGCACCAGCCACCCTGTGCCGTGCCAGGCGCTCCAGCTGCCAGGACTTGTCTGGCAGCGCACTGTTCCCGCTATGTGGGCTTAGAGCCAAGCTGCTCCTCTACCCCTTGTGTTCCACACAGTCCTGCACTGGGGAGACGAGCTAGGAGAAAAGAGTCTTTATTTGCTCCACAGCCAGGCTCTGCCTGAGCTCCAGCTGGAGAAAAGGCCTCAAAAACCCCATCCTGATGGAGCACGGCCCCAGCAATGCTCCAGGAAATGCCACTAAGTCTTTTATGATACAGAAGGCACCAAACAGGGGCAGGGCTGTGCAAGTAATGGGTCCCTGCAGGCACTGGGGTCCAGGGATGCTCTGCCCCTACATCACTGCCACCTCCCTGCTTCTCCACCATCGCTGCCCCTGCGAGCCAGCCAGGGCCCCACTGCAGGGACACGTTTGTCCTGACCCTCTGCAGAATCTCCTCAAGCTTCCAGCTGGGAGCACTGGGGCAGCCCAGCTTTCCAGGGGATAGGCTCAGGGCAGACAGGCAGGGCTGGGCACAGAGCACAGTGCAGGATGTGTCCCTGGGGCACAGTCTGCCCCCCATCCATCTGCCAGCCCCCATCAGGGAACGTCCTGCCTACACAGGAGAAACAAAGGGTCCAGGCTGGCTGGGTGCCACCGGGGCTGGTGCACCCCTTCCAGTACAACCAGGATGCAGCCACCAGGTGAGGAGTTGCAGGAGCCTGGATCAGGAGGGCATGAGGGTTCTGCTCTCCCTTCCTGGGGGAGGCTCCAGAGGCTCAGTCCAAAGTCATGCCAGCCGAGCCTGGCTGCGCCTCATGGCACTGGGGTAGTATTTGAGGAACAGCTTCCTGGAGATCTCCAGCGTGTCCCCAGCTGGCACGGCCGGGTAGCGCTTCCTGTTGTAGACGAATCCTCTCTCCACTTGGAAGACAGCCTGGTTGAACTCGTCCTGGTGGAAGGGGCGGCCCGAGTTGAGGCTTTCCACCAGCACAGAGACGAAGAGGCTCCAGCGCACACCGTAGTAGTCCAGCACCAGCCCCCCCAGCTGCTTGTTGGCGTAGTCCAGGATGTTCCCACTGGGCCCCCAGAGCGTCACCTGGTTCCGGGCGTTCAGCTCGTACTGCTCTGCCTCCCGGTCACTGGTGGCCATGGCGCGGGCGCTCTCCAGCCAGCGGCCGAGCAGGAAGAGGCTGTGGCTGGAGAGGAGGCTGTCCAGCTCGGGCAGCAGGTCGTACACCAGCACGCCGCCGGCCGTCAGCAGCTCCGGCAGCGCGTGGCTCTGGAAGGCGCCGCGGATGTCCAGGTAGTAGTTGCTCACCAGCTGCTGGGCCGCCTGCCGCGTCACGTCCACCAGGTCGTAGCGGAAGGTGGGGCTGGAGCCCAGCTCGGCGCTGGCGCTCAGCAGCAGGCGCCAGGCCTCGTACACATCGCTGGCGTTGTACCAGAGCTCCGTGTCCATGTGCAGCGAGGGCCGGCGCACCAGCGGGCTGCGGTTGTGGTTGACGCAGACGCCGGTGCAGTTGTAGACGCTGCGGAGGAGCAGGCGCCAGGCAGCGGCCGCGGCAGCGTTTGGGGCGCCGTAGCGGCGCTCGGCGTAGCGGGACACCCAGCTGGGGAGGTTGAGGGGCTCCTGCCGCCAGCCCAGCTCGTTCATCAGCTCGTACACCATGTCGTTCTGCTCGATGCCCTCAGGCACCAGCCCTGTGCCCACCATGGTGGAGTTGGGGAAGCGCCGAGCCACGAAGGGGCCGTGGTTGATGGCCTCCACGGTGCCGAAGAGGCCGTGGTTGCCCCCGAAGTTGTGCAGCATGCACCAGATGAAGGGTTGCCCGTAGAAGGACTCTGTCCACTGGTAGACAGGTTTGGACTCAGCAAAGAGGTCAAGAACAATCATCCTGCCGAGGGGCACTCCGTGCAGGAGGGCCCGCACCTGTGCCGGGTGCCAGAAGTCTGGCTGGTGCTGGAAGAGCCATCCCTGCATCAGCCACAGCGCCTTGGGGTCAGCTGTGGATGGAGGAGCACAGGGTGAGGTCCCACCCAGGCAGGGCCCACAGGTGTCCCAGGAGGCCCTGGGGCCACCAACCACCCCTTGTGGAAGGGGCTTTGAGGGTCTGGCACCAACAGGGTCTGTCGAGCACAGGCAGCTCAGCGCTTGCATGGGGCCCAAAGCCTCCTTCCCCAGCCCCAGTTATCCCACCTGGAGCCTCACGGCCAGGCCAGCATCACACACTGACCCACCTCCTGTCATCGACCTGAAGACAGCATTGCTGACCCTCGAGAGATAGGCAGGGTCAGAGGAGAGGGGGGTCATCTCATTGAAGACATCAGCGCTGTAGACGTGGTCTGTGCCAAACTCCTTGATCAGCTCCTTCAGGAAGAGGGTCCCGATCACCTGGAACATGGAGTCCTCCGGGTCCAGCAGGTAGATACACGAGTAGGTGCAGTCGAAGTGGCTCCAGCCCCCCAGGCGAGTGGCATTCACGCGTGGGAAGACCCTGCAGCAGAGGGCAGAGATGGGGATCAGGAGCAGGGCAGGACAGGAGCACTGTGCCCCTGCAGGGACAGTGCATCCTCTTGGGGGAAGCTGCAGGTGGGAGGTGTCGTAGGGGCTGTTATGCCAAAGATGTGACCCTGGAAATGGCCCAGGGCAGGGCGAGGGCAGCACCTACCGAAGGATCCCCTGTGGCACATGGCCCGCGAAGGCTGGCAGCACTGTGGTCATCCCCAGCGAGCGCATCCGCTCCACGATCCGGTACTGGGAGAGAGAAGGAGGGAGAGAGCAGGGAGAGAGGAGCCCACGCCTCCCCCGCGAGGGGCTCCAAGAGCTGCTGGAGCTCGGGCAGGGACACGGGGGTCCCCGAGGCTTCGTGAGCACGCCCAGGGCAGGGGGTGTCAGGGGTCTGCCCCGGACGGGCATGGCCGCCCCGGTACCTGCAGGTAAAGCTGTTTGAGGTGCCAGGAGGGCGGCAGCGGTCCGGCCCAGCGGCGGAGGTTCCCCATCCGGTTCCAGGCCAGGAACGCGGGGCCTGTGAAGTACTTGTCGATCTCCGACTGGTTCAGCCCCAGGTTGTGGTAAACCTGCGCCGGGCGCCGGGGGTCAGCCGGTCCCGGCGTCTCCCGGTCCCCGCCGCCCTCCCGGCCCCGCTCCTCACCCGCTGCCACACTGCCTCCTGCCCAGCGAAGGCCGGCGCCAGGTTGATGCCGCTCAGCGCCATCCAATCGATCTCCCGCTCCCAGCGCGCCCAGTCCCACCAGGCGAAGGAGTAGCTCTGGGCGCACACGTTCTGGTAGTAGCGGTACCTGCGGGAGCGGCGGAGGCTGCGCCCGGGCCGCCCCGCGCCCCCGGGGCCCCCGTTACATAACGGCGCCTTGTCCCGCGCTAACGAGGCGTGAGCGGCTCCGCGCGGCCCCGTTACCTGCCGTTACCTGCCGGGGGCGGCGGCGCGGATCTCGGCCCGCAGCCGCGGCAGCGGGTCGGGCAGGCGGAGCTGAGCCCCGGACCACGACAGGTGGCAGCCGCAGAAGTCGCGCAGGTAGCGGTAGAGGCCGGCGGCCGCCGCCACGCCGCTGGAACCCGTCACGGACACGGCCACGGCGGCGCCGGGCGGCGACCACAGCCGGTACGCGTCGGGCCCGCCCGCCGCCAGCGCCGGCTCCACCGACAGCGACACGGCGGAGGCCCGCGGGCCGAGCAGGCGCCGCGCCAGCGCCCGCACCGCCGCCTCCTGCCGCGGGTCCCCCGCCCGCGCCGCCGCCAGCAGGAGCAGGAATGGCAGCGCCAACGCCAGCCCCGGTCCCGGTCCCCTCCGCGCTGCCATCGCCGCTTCCTGCCCCTTCGCCAGGCCCCGCCTCTCCCGGTACCGTCCCGCTTCTCCCGGCCCCGCCGCGCTGGGCGGTCCCGGCGGGGGCCGGGCCTGAACCGGGAGCGGGGTGGGGTGGCTTCAGTGGGCGGGCTCCGGCCCCTCGGAGCGGGGACTCACCGGGCCGGGGCTGGGGACAGGCGCTGCCTGTGCCCCGGGACCACCGCAACCCCTTCCCCGCCCGCTCAGGGGGACCCCCGCGGGACGAGACTCCCGCCGGGGCGAGTCTGGCACCGGCAGCTCCGGACATTTCGCGTTTCCCACCCGTGAGGGTTCCCCGCCCCTGGGGCAAACGGCGGTCCCGGAGCATCCGCCAGCCCGGGCCCCGCTCCGGCCGGGCGGGGGCGCTGCGAGACCGGGCAGGGGGCGCCGCCGGTGCCCCGGGCAGGGGAACGCCCCGGGCCCGGCCTCCCCCTCCACCCCGAGGGGCCCGGGCCGGACCGGCGGGAGGGAGCCCCGCCGGGGAGAGGGGCGGGAGCAGGCTCGGGCTGCCAGGGTCTCTCTCGGCTCCAGGGCCATTCGTGGGCATTGCCAGGACAGAGCTCGGGGCTCCCCGAACATCCCCAGTACAGCCCACGGGAGCCCCCAGGGCTGCCCTGTGTCCCCGGAGCCATGGAAACGGGCAGAAATATTGTGATTGCGCTCGGGAGTGGTGCAAGAGCGCGGAGGAGCGGGTGAAAGAGGAGAGCATCCCCCAGGACCGCTGGTACCCATAGCGGTGGGAGAGCATCCCCCGGGACGGGGGGGGGGGAGCCGGCCCGTCGTCCGAGGGGAGCGGGACGCTGGGGGGGAAATGCAGCGCAGCTCCTGCCCTGCCGGGACATCAGGAGACGGGAAACACACCGACTTCAGCAGAACCCTCCCTTCCGCTGCTCCCGCACATGTGGAAAAAGCCCTGCTGCAGGAAGGGCCTGAGTAAACACGGCCCCCCCGGGGAAAGCGGGGGGTCCCTGGGGCTGTGGGGGCCAGGAGCAGGGCACAGCCCCGAGCATGCAGACCCTGTAGCCCCACTCCCCGTCAAGAGCACCCACAGCACCCGTTAATCAAAATGGAGCTTTTCCTCCTGCACAACTCCTCGTTCCACCCAGTTATGGGGTTTATCGGGGTGGGCAGAAGGCCCCGGGACAAAGGGCCCCAGCCAGGTCTTCACTCAGGATGTCGCTGGGGCTCCATAAGTGGAGAGACATTGCAGTCCGGGCACGGTCATGCCAGTCTCGCTGTACAAACCAGCCCTGCCCACCCCTGGTTCTGGCCGTGGATGTAACACGGATCCTAGGCAGGAACACTGAAGGTCCCAGATGCCCCCAGCAGCTTTTGGGGCTCTGCCCAGTGTCAGTCAGGGATGAGGGGCTGCCCAGGAACCCCCTCAGTGAGTGCAGAGGAAGCAGAAAACAGACCAAGCACATGTTGGGCAGTTCATTTAATTTATACAGTGACTCTCAGCAACTGTCAGCGTTTCATCCGGGCAGCAGGACACAGCGGGACTTGTGTCACTGCTCTATCTGCAGCTCTGCTTTGATTTCACCCTTCAATCTCCAATCACCTCTGTAAACACACCCCAGTGAGCACCCAGGGGCTGCCCAGGTGCAGCACGAAGGTCCCTGTGCCCTGCACACTTTGCAGCATGCAGTGCATATGTACCTTTCTCACCTAATTTTAGGCAGCCCAGTACCTTGAGGCATTTCCTCCTCGCTTCCAGGTTAACCATTCTCATTTCTGTTCTAATCTGTTCAAATACAAATACTCAGCTCCACTGTGAGAATTAAATACGATGGTCGCACACAGCACTAACACCCCACTGCTGCTACAGCTACATCGAGTTGAGGAGGGCAAGGAATTACTGACAGCTCAGGCAGGAGAGAAAGCAACAGCCACTGCAGGGGCACACCACTGAGACCTCCCTGAGCCTCTGCTCCCCCTTAAAGGGCTCCTCAGACCTTGAGTGCACCGGACAGTGTAAGCCACTGGTCCCTCCACCAGTGCAAAAGCTGCCCCCACCAATGCCAAGCCCGTACAGGCACTACCCAACGTGCCTCGAGGACTCTGCAACCTCGAGCTTTAAACCAGAAACCCCACCACAGCCTCCAGCAACGTGAGGGGGAGCAGCCCTCGCTCTTCAGGAGCTGAGGTTCTTAGGTCTTTTCTCCACGTGCTGGGTTTGCCCCCTCAGCAGAGCTACATTTCTCTTCTGCGCTGATCAGCTGCCAGGGAATGCACGACACAGGGAGCACACAACTGCACACCAAACAGACACATCATGCACTTGGTATCTTCAAGAGTAAACATAAGGAACAAAAAAAACTTCTGTGATCCAGTGTCACTCGTTACCCCAGAGCATCAAAGCTCGTGGCTTTGGGATGCCATGGTAACGCTCAAGAGTGCTGCAATAAGTTATTGTCACTATGGGGGGGTTACACACGACTCAGACACGCAGGGAAGAGAGGGAAAATCACACATATGGTTTTGGGAGGGTCAGTCATACACACACACACACACACACATTCACACACACGGTGTTTAACACTGCTGGAGTGGAGGCGGAGGGCTCAGTCATCAAACCTCCCCTCACGGATGGTGTCAAAGGAGAAAGGGAGAAACTTGAACCCAGTACCAGTGTAGAACTTGTTCTGGAACTCGATCCTGCAAGAGAGGGAAGAGCAATCGCTTACTAAAAAGGCAGCTCTCAATAAGAGCAGCTAGCAAGAACTCTGTTAGCAAGAACTCTGTTAGAAGTACGATTACTGGCTATAAAAAAATAAAGCTATAAAGAGAAAAAGAGGCGTTATAATATAATGTACCTTTTGGGATAAACCTCCTACCTGTGTGTGATGTTTCTGTGCGGGGCAGAGAACTGTCCATGGACTTAAATCAACATAAGGGCAAGAGAACCGGGAAACCCACCCCGACTGTGGTGCCCCAGGAAGCACAGCGAGCACACAGCATTTTCTACACCAGCTAATTGCTGAAGTTCCCTTTCCTGTGAGCACAAGCCTCGGCCGCGTGACGCTGAGCTCAGGCTCCCCCACCAGCCGCTGCTGTTTATTCCCTGTGGCACATTTGGTTCATCCCCCCCACAGGCACTTCGTGCTGGGATGTGCCTGCTGGCTCCAGCCCAGCATTAGCACGGCCCCATTTGCTGCTGCCGCCCCTAATGAACTCGGGTAAAAAAAAAAAAAAAAAAGAATTATTCCAGAGAACTGCCCAATGGTCAGCGACAGCCAAATAGGGACAGGGAAAACTAATCCCCTGATTCCCAGCAAAAACAAGCTTGGGCTCCACAGACACTTTACATGATCCGCTGGAAAACAAAGTCTCTGTGGGCAGTAAGTGACGGCAAACTGGGGGGCATTTAACACAGATGGGGAGAAGGATTTTTACGCAGCAATAAAAAGACAAACTTGAATTATTTTTCCCCATGGCAAACTCCAGAGCTGCTGGATTTAGCTGGCAAAAAGTGTTTTCCCCACAGAGCCCAGGAGGGAAATGCTCAGAAAAAAAAACCAGCTTTATCTTGTATCTGCTGCTGCCTCATAGGCCAAGGGATCCCCAGGATGAGCAGGATTTTCCGTGTGGGAGGAAGGGCTCCTCGCCAACCTGCTCCAGTTTTTCAGGAACCCTGATAATCTCCATAAATATCCTGTGACTAAATAACTGTTCTGTAAGCAAAGGGAAACGAGAGGCAGAGGGTTGGGTATCTGAGTCACCCAAACCCACTGTAACTGAAATTTTAACCCTGATGATTCATAGTTCCAGCTGGCCCTGACATCCAAACACTCCCTTTGGACACTGCTACACAACTGGAGGCCCGATGCTGGAGGAGAGGCTGCTCTAAGGTTAGAGAACTAGTGAGAAAAGCGTATTTAACCAAATAATCACAGCATAAACAGTCAGTGGGGTTTTCTCCAGTTGTCTCCAGGAACGTCCAGAACCCAGCACGAGGCACTACTGTCCCCAGGCTCTGCCTGTCACATGTCCCAGTTTATTGCTAAACTCTCTGTGTGTCTCCCATCAGTGACCAAGGTCTGCAGAGGAATTACAGACAGTGAGCACTGTCAGCAACCAGATCAGGAGCTCTCTGGCAGCATTGCTCTGCAGCTTTTTCCATTAAAAATTAGTGCCAGTGTTTGTCAGACCGTAGTTCTGTGGATTTTCCAACTGCACAGAGTCAGGGGTACCCACACTGGAAAACCAGGCAGCTCCAGTCCTACGAGCAGGAGCAGCTGCAGAGGCAGCTGTGGAAGAGGAACCCCGACTGTCACTTGGCACAACTGCAAATTCCCACTTGGTGTTTGTGTTCCTAAAGGCAGGTGCCAGAGCCTGGGGTCAGGTGTTACCCCAGGCACACTTTGAGAGAGAGGGGTGACCTCCAGCACACCCAACAGTCAGAACACACTGAGGTGTCCGTGCAGAGACTGTTGCAGTTACTCCTTCCCAAAAAGGCCCTGTGGGAGATTCCATCCTGCCTGACAGGAGGCTGCACTGCCCCTCGGAGCAGCAGCTCCTGCAGCCACACTGCTGGCCAGCACTGGCTTGTGACCTTTACAAAGGAAAATCAAACCCTGGCAGGTGGGTGGAAAGCTGGACTCTACCACTCCCACTCACTGGACTGAGAGCAGGATGCAGCTCCAGCACGCCCACACTTCTAGGGAAGCAGCACTCTGAATCCAGCTTTAAACTTCTCCTTTTGGGCAGAGTGTGTGCTGGCTCACATCAGAAGAGCTGACTAGCTTAAAAGGGGGAAAGCTGCTTGAATGTGAAACTCCATTCACGTCAAACTGCATCACTGAAAAGCAAGTGGAAAGGCAAACTGTTTCAGGGGAATTACAGTAAAAGGAGCTGACAGCACGACAGCTCAGACCGGTACTGAGCTGCAGCGGAGCCCTGATGCACACCCAGCACTCTGGGTGCTGCCTCCACCCCAGAATGCCCTGAAAAACCCAGCCTGCTCGAAAAATGCACACTCAAAAAGCACAGAGTAAACCTCCCCAGTTTGGGACTGCCAGGCACAGCACATGGAAAAACCTGGCGCTCCCTCACCAGCAAAACACATGCTCAAGTCCTCCTCCTTTCCAGGACGGCTGAACCACCCACACCTCGAATTCCTGATAGGTGACTGTTCTCCCACAGCCAGAAAATCCCATCTGCTCTTCCCAGGACAGCTGTATTTGACCCTCACTCCCCCCTTAATCCTCCTAAAAAGGGAACACCTGCCATTGGAACGCCCTGTTTTTGCTTCAGGAGCAAAAAGGAATGTGAACAGTGTGTTCTTTGGAACAACTGCAGGTGCCTCCCTGTGATAACCAACACAGCAAACACAAAATCATTTCAGCAGATCACTCGCAGTCTGAAATAGAGCCTTAAAATTGGTGTTTGGGCTCTGAGCCTGAACAGATTTTTCTCTCAGAGCGTGTACATGATAGGTTTGCAAGTCTGAAAAAACACATTTAGGGGAAAACAGGACTTTGATAAGCACTGCAGTTCAGCAGCCAGGCCATGCCCTGCACTGGTCTGCATGGCTGGAGTGATCTGTGTACCCACTGCTGCTGCACCTGGGTTTGTTTCCCTGTTTGCCATTCCACTGATTCATGTCTTCCCGTGACACATTTTACAGATGATTTTTTTAAAGTCCCTTTAGGAACAGCCTGGCAATGGGAGCAGCCACCTCTTGGCTGAACCATAACCTCCTGTTCCAGGTATCTGTGAGCCGTATCCATAGGTGCAGATTGTGGTTATTAACACAAGACAGGTACCTCCCCAAAAACATGCTTTCTGCTCTGAGTCAATCCCTGTGGGTGCCAAAGGAGCCTGCCCAGAGCAGCTGCTCAGAGCTGCTCCCCACAAACAGCCGTGCAGCTCCACAGCCCGGAGAGGCCAGACCCTGGAAATCCTCTAAACCCACAGGGAATTGCAGAGCAAACCCTCCAAATGTGGAGTTACAGCACTGCTGCTCTCTGCTCTCCTCGGACTGCTCTCAGTGCCCGGCAGGGTCCGTGGGGCTCCTGCTGTGGCTGCTGCAATGGCCCCGGGGTGACAGCAGGGAAAGAGGGTGAGGGCCCTCTGTCCAGCCAGAGAGGAGCTCTCGAGTGACTGCTAGGGAGGGTTCAGGCTGGATGCCAGGAAAAACAGAGGCACCATCCAGCAGCCATTTCCAGCAGTGCCCCCCCTGCTCCCTCAGCACAAGATGGCTTCGCCCCGGGATCCCGGGGTCAGCTCAGCCCGCTGGGTACAGACACACAGGAGGGCCAGGACACCCCCAGCCTGCCCAATGCAGAGGGCAAAAGGCCAAAGTTTTCCTTCCACACAAGCAGGGGAAAAGTCCAAAAAGGCTGATTTTTTTTTTCACCCCCCTTTTTTTTTTTTTTTTTTTTAAAGGCACTGCACCCTTCGCACTTACAAAACTACTTTCAGAGAGCGCTCCCAACCTTTCCTTCCCATTTAAGCAAGACAGAATATTCCTTGTGATCTGCATGGGACTTCCCTTTGCACTTCTGACCCCCCAGGAAATCAGCAGCCTGAGGAGGTGGCAGCTGCCTGAACCCCACAGAGGCACAGACTCCCCTACACTTCAGGCTGAGCAAACCCCACTCCCACTTGCTCCTTTGATTCCACCAGTCCACTAACCAGGGAATCTGAAGTGGAACAATAAGTGCTCTTAAACATGGATTAGAGAAAGCTCTTGAACACTTTCCATACTTGGGAGCAGAGTAATTCCTTCTGCTTTGCTGGCTGCATACACAGGAGCTCAGTGATCATGGGAAAGGAGCTGCAAAAGCAGCTGCCAAAAGCAAGACCAGCAAAAACTCGCTGCCATCCCACAGCACCCTGAGGGCAGAAGGCAAAGCCACTCCTGTCCAAGGCAAGGTCTTATGATGACAAATAAGAGCACGAGAAGGAAACTGCAGTCAGTGGCTACTGTACATGGAGGACAACAAAGACAGGAACCAGGGAAAAGACCAAAAGACAAAATGAGAAAGTCCTGTTGAAAGCCACAAGCACACTGATCTGCCCAGAGCCTCCCTACCCCCCCCCAGTCTCAAAGCTTAGGTCCTAAAGTTTTAGCCTTTTAGTGCTTATTTTTAAGCAGAGCTCAGTTACTCTCCGCAATTTCTATGCAACAAATCACAAGACAGGTACTGCTCTACCAACAGGATTGAAATCTGGCTCTTTTAAAGACCTTCTGCCTTTCTGCACGGTCCAGGTGACATTTACTTTCTGCCTATGAAGAGCTCCCCAAGTTTCTGGACGTCCCAGTGACTCACCAGTGCAAACGCAGAGCGTGGAGGAAGGCTGAGAGCCCCTCCATGACCAGCAGAATGGCCACTGTCAGGGTGGCAAAAGCAGCAAAGATGAAGAAGAGGCCGAGGCCTCCCCCCAGGCTCCTCACGCTGAGGCCAATGTGGATCACCATGGTCCAGAGCACCTCCGAGAGCTCTGCCAGGAGAAAGGGCAGGAGAGAGAGGGCTCGTGTCAGCGGGAACAGGGGGGGCTGCAAAGCCAAAACTAAAGTCAAGCTCCCTCCCTCCATCCCGTTCGGCAGAGCTGTGGGGGCAGCCCCTGTGTGGGGCTCGCTGCTCGTTCACACACACACAGAGCTGAGCCCTGGGAGGCCCCTGGTGTTCCTGCCTCCCCCTGCGTGGGGGGAACAGCCCCACGGACCCACACCCAAGCCCCGGCAGGGACACTCACGCGCGTGGGCCAGGCTGAGGGCCCAGAGCCGCAGGTAGGACGCGGTGTTGGAGATGCAGCCCAGGCAGTACTCGATGGTGTGGATGGCCTGGTACACCACGGTGTCGCCGAAGTCGAACTGCAAAGGGGAACCACAGGGTGAGGGGAGCCGGGAGCCCTGCGAGGGCCAGCCAGGCAGGGACACGGGCAGGGGAACCTGCTTGCTATCACCAAGGACACCATGTGTGACGCTGCACGCTGACACTGTCTGCTCCTGGCTCAGCCACGTCACTTTTGTAAATGCAAAACGTCTCGCCGGGTTTTGCAGGACGGCAAGTGCTGTGACTCGAATATTGTTTATGCATTCTGGCACATGGAAGTCAGATATTCCAAATCCATCCACGGGCTTAGCCAGGGAAAGACTGTTCAGCAGAAGATGGTGTTGGAGTGAATTCCCCAGTACCTCAGAGGTGCCTCTATGGGAAGGAGTCAGTGCTCCAAGCTGTGCTGTGTGTGCCTTTGCTAAAGAAGCAACAGGAGCATTTTTTGAAAGCAAAAACAATGCATGAAGCTATCCTGAAAAAAGTCACATCTGTGCACCGTTCACTGGCGAAGTCTCTGTGTCTTGGTAATTTTCTGCATTAATAAAAGAAAAACTTACAAGGAAGTCTGCCATGTAGGGCAGTTTCTTATTCTGCAGCTTGGGAAAGCATTCCTTGCATTCTGGATTTAATCCGTGCTTCAGAAACTGCTCAGATTTAAGTGAACATGATGTTTTAAATACATCCAGTGACTAATGCTCTAGGCACGAACACAAAGCTATTTATATTCTTATTTCTCCCCCAGCATATCCAAGGCAATAAATATTTCAAACAATTCAGTTAAATTAGCAGTCAAAAGCCTTAATTCTTTCTCCACAGAATGCGACCTGTGAAGTTCTTCAGTTCCAGCCCCTGCATCCACGAGCTGGGAGGCAGCTCTGGGAATGTGGGAAATGTGGAATGTTTAAACAATGACTGTTCACAGCCCTGAGTGCCTGAGAGAGTTCTCTTTTGCACAAAGCCTCTGCCCAGTTCACCTGCTGAACTACAAGAAACTGGACTGGTTGTGCTGTATTTGCTCACTCAGTCAACCAGTACCATCCTTAACATGGCAGATCTTTTGAGGAAAAACAGTTTACTGCAGCACAGAATTACCAAAGACACAACATAAGGCAACCGAGACTTCTCCAGAGGCTCAAAAGTGAAAACTTTTCAGTTTCAGACCTCCAGCTGAGCAGCTTCCCAGGTAACTGGGAATGACCTGCAGACAGGGGATCAGACAGACAAGTTGTATAGATGAAGTAATTAAAAGTCTGTTAATGTATGCATGTATGAATTAAAAACGGCCTGTGACACGTAAACAGCAAGATCTTTTTGAAAACAAGATGCTGTGACATAACATGTTCAATTCAGCACGTTTTACATCGATGGGAAATGGCCCAGGTACACATGAAGGCAAAGCTGCTGTGCTCTTACCACCTCGTCCTCTGTAGGCTTGAAAACACAAATTTACATTTAGTTCAGTGTCTCGATCACATTAATCACGAACACATTCAGCAATTCCCTCCTAAACACGCCACGGAAAGCAGTAACACATCCCATGCACTACAGAGGCAGGATCTGCTGCAGTCGTTCAGAGGCATCAGAAAACTCCCAAACTACGTGAGATGATTGCTTTTCTCCTCTCCCAGAGGAAAGGGAAGTAATTAATATTACCCCCAGCAGTCAAAATGAATATATATAAGCAAGATTTCAGTGCTGCAGAAATACAGCCCCTGGATTTCCAGGGGCATGGGAGAAGCAGGTAACACCCCCGAGATAGTGGCTCCTCGTCATGGGGACAAACAGAGCCACCATCTCCCATGATATGCAAATTATGCTGCTTTTTCTGGAGTCCCATGAGTGACCAAGAGACAGTCAGTGAAAAAACTGCTACGAAAACACTTCACTGGGAACGTTGCTGTTCAAACAGCACGGAAAAATGAGTAACTTCAGTCCCAGCGAGCTCATCCTGCTGCCGAGTGCAGTGCCCTGAGAGCGAGGATGCTCAGGTGCTTACCTCTTCCCCCTCCTCAGAATGGGTAGATAACTGGTCATGTTGAATGATCTCAGCATCCTCCTCCGTTGGGCCATTGCCCACCCGGATCCCACCAAAGTTGTGCGTGCCCTGACACATGCAGAAAAGAAAGAGCAAAGTGTTGTTCGGGTTTTAGTGCAAAAGTGCAGGTTTCTCATGACTTCATGTGCAGCAGCAGCAGCTCACAGAGGAAAACAAAATATTAAGTATTAAGGCCCAGGTTAAGGCAGGTACAATTCTATTTCCCAGCTCGGATGGGAAAGGTGCTGATTCCTGCTGGGGCTGGGGAAAAAAAAAAAAAATAGGTCTGTCTGAATGAATCTTTGGTACATTTCTACAGTGTAACTACAACCCTGAGGACAATCTCTCAGAGATCATTTGCTGGCTCTGACATGCAAAAGCTCATGTCCTCCCCAGCATGGCTGGCCAAACACTGACACATCACTGCTGGGTCCTGGAGGAGGTCACAGAGCAGAACACACTGACACAAACACACACTCACTCACTCCCACCAGCCCCAGGCACACCAACACCACATGGGAAACCAGACCTTCCCTGCTTGGAAGCTGCAAGCAGCTCTTTTTACAGACATTTGCTCTGACATTCAGCATCTGACCCTCAGCTGCACCTCCAGGACTCCAAAGGGAAAAGAACAACCCACAGACTCAGCCGAAACATTGAAACCAGGAGCAGTTCCCACCTGACCCCTGCGAGTCTGACCCCCAGAGAGGGAAACTCCACCACCACAAATAGAAACAAACCCTCTGTCCAGTTCCAGCACTGTCCTGGGTCACCTGGGGCATGGGATGTGACCAAGCTGACCCACCACACCCGGACTGCAGAAGTTCAGGGATGCCCATGCAGACCAAGGAGGCTGAAGGTCCTGTGACCTGACACTTGCACAGACCTGCAGAACAGCTGCTCAGAGTTCTTTTACCTCTTTTGTTCTTATAAGCCTGCTTTTATTTTAGGCTGAACTGTAAATTTGCCCAAAACGCCGTATGTGAATGAAAGATTTTGTCAGGTTTCTAAAAACAAATCAGGTAGGTGTTTATACTCTGAATAGAAATAAATTAAAGGAAACCCCCACGTTTTCAGCTAAGACAATGCTTTCATTAGGATTTTCAGCTTCTCTGAAACATCAGAAGTCACTGATGACTCATGTCAATACCCTATTTATGTATTTCTAGCCTGTGTGAATTTGCACTTCTGCAGCTTCTCCCTTGCACCTGACTTGTATCCATTCCCTGTAAACCATCCAGCCTAAACACAGCTCCAACAACTCCAATTATTTACTCGATCCTTCTAAGCACACCTCACACATGACCTCCCCTTGCAGTTTCCTGATGGAGATGCACTTCACACACTGGATGGATCATGCACAAAAGATCCATTTTCACGCCTGACATTTCCGTGAGGAAATTAAAATGTCACGAGAGAAACAGCTAAACCGTCCCTTCCGGCACCTCTGGCACGTGGAGAGCCTGATGTGCTTCACACAGTCAGTGAGATTCACACTTTCTAGTCAGCCAGGCAGCATTCACAACTAAAACCAAGGCGAAATAGGCAGCACTGGGGGCAGGACCAAGTTCTGGGGGGCTGCCACAATCCCCACCAGAAAGCTCTGGCAGGAAAGGGCCGTCTCTAGGCTTAGACACGTAAGTCAAAACAACTGCCACTGAGAGGCTTGTTTGTGCCCAACCATTTTATAAGAGCTTCAGGTCAAAGTGTGTACAGGGCAGAGGTGTCACAAATCTAGTGATTTACTGACACAGAGTTGCTGGAGGCCATCACATCACCTGTGTGTTTGGGAACGTGTAATGCAAACGGAAATGCTGCACCGAGAAGAATCCTAACCTATCTTAAGCAAATATGCCAGAAAAGGAAAAAAAGGGGGAACTTAACCTGGGGGGATGTGGTAGCAGGAATTCCTGTGCTGCTCTGCATGTTGGATTCAAGCAGCACCCCTGCAAGGAATTGTCTCTGTGCACACGCAGCTATCATCCTCCAGCCCGGGTGTTCATCCAGAATGTATCAATTTGGCTGAACTTTGCTCTTTCCAAGAGAAAGTGTTTTTTTCACCCTAAAGGTGCACTTGCCATTCCCTTACGATACTCAAGATACATTCCATGCTCCCCTGATAACCAGACAGAAAGCCAGCTCCCATCTGTAATGCATCAGGCGAGTTTGAAGAGCACTCACTGTTGCAGCCGCTGCTGCCTCGAGCGCCTGCGCGTTCGTGCTGCCCTGGGCCTCCTCGGGCTGCCCCTCCTGGGGGTGGACGGAAGAAGAGAAAGGGAGGAGGAGGAAAAACAAAAAGAGAAAGGGAGACGAATGGAGGGGACATGGGAGGATGAAAGATGGTCAGAGAAGGGAGAGGGAGTGTCCGTAACTGAACTGATCTTTGACTCGCTGCACATCCTCACAGCTCCGCCCGACGTGCGGGGAGGACTCGCACGAGTGCCACGTTCCTGCACCTCACACACAGGTACTCCACAGTGCAGCTGGAAACCTACAGAGCACGCCAGCAGACCACCTCTCACACGACTGTGGAAGTTTGTTTTTCCTTAGAGTTGTTATGGTTTTTTACTACCCAAACTGCTTTAACAAAGATAGCTGAGAAGTCTGCGAGCCAAGCCCGTCTCTGTTTCTCATCACTGGGAAATTGCCAGCCTAGTAGCCCAGGCACAGAAGTGCATTCAGCAGCCAGTGAGATTGTTCCTAAACCAGCTGCCAAAGCCCCCAAGCCAGAGACACTGTTCTGATCACTACCAACATAACGGGGTTTTTAAAAGCGGGTTTGATGCTGGATCCAGATCTGGGAAGCAGGCAGGCAAACACTCTGTCTCCACTAACACCCACCTGCCTGTATGCCCAGGAATATGCAAAAACACTTTACAGTTCTCAATGCAGTGTGAACCCATGTATCCAAGCTCGAGATGGAAAACACAGCTTTTCAACCAAAATTAGTTTTCATGTGGAAAATATAAGGGGGGGGGGGTCACCCACCAAGTGTTTTCTCCTTAAATACTGCTGGCGAAGGACCAGGGGTTTGGCCACCAGCATCCACGGAACACACAGCAATGCCACCACCACGAGGAAGCACTGGAGCCCCTTCTGCAAAAGAAACAAGTCTCAGGTGATTCAATGGCAGCCACTGCTCAAACACACACAGATCCCAGCAAACACGGCTGAATTCCCAGTATGCGGACGCTTCACTACATCTCCCTTCTGGGAACAGCAAGATGAGCTGTACTTAATGCCTGCAGCTGCCCCCACTGACTGGATACTGCATTTAATGCTGAGACTGGGTTAGATTAGGGAAAAATCCAAAAGATCCTGCAGGGAATGGGAATTTGACAGGCGTTTGATAGTGCTAGAAGGAGACAGTGTAGGTGTTGGTGTCTGAGCTAAGCTGAGAGGCACCATGTTGCAGAGACTGAGCGATACTCCTAATTGCTTTCCACTATTAATCAGGATTTAAATGTTCTGGAGCCACAGCTGACATTCTCAGACTGATCTAAATTCCTGGTATAGGGATTATTCCTTCCTTCAGAAACCCACTGTCACAGAGGAAAAATGTTTCACACTTCATTTCACAATTACCACAAGGTCAATGAAATGCTCCAATATCACAAAGCATCTCTGATCCTGTTTTTTAGCAAGAGCACGCACCTGACCACTATAAAGCATCTTATTACTGGTATCCTCATAGGAGAACAGAAACATGTTGATAAAGTGTATTAAGAGGCTCGGTGCTTCCTTGGATGTGTGGGCATCATAGGCTGTCCACTTGTAAAAGATGAGAATAACAAGGTATCCAAAGAGGGAGGACATGAAAATCATTTCTGGAATAAATCCAAGGTATATGTTCAGTGGCTTCTTAAAATAGCTACAGGGAAAAAAAAAAAAGAGAGAGTTTAATATTACATTTCTTTAGAATTAGGGCAAAAGCATTTAGTGAGAGCATGAAGAATGTCTTTGGAATGACAACACAGGGACTCAGCAGTTCAACAACAGCTGGGCCAGAGCACAGGAGCTGCCTCACACAAACAGCCAGAAACAACAGCACTGCACCTTCCACCAGGAGGTGAGGGCTGACAGGCTCCAGCATCTTAAACCAACACACACACGTGATTCACAAAGACGTTCCCCTCAGCACGATAAAAACAGAGCAAAACACTTACATGTGGTTGAGGAGACTCAGTGCGACCCCAAAGAGCATCTGGAAAATGCCAAGGATCACGGACATCTTCATCTTGAAGGAGTTGAGGAAGGCCAGCTTATTGCTGGCAATATTCCAGATCTGTGAAAAACAACACCCAGTCAAGGCAAACACTGGGGAAAAGGAAAACAGGAGAAGGAAAATGCTCCCTTTGAGCTAAACAGTATGAATCAGCCAGGAAGTGTCAGGATGAAAGAGCAGGTTTTTAAAGCTGTGTTTGTCCCACAGATATCTTTTGGGGAAATGAGCAGACAAGCTTTTCTGCTGGGAACAATCTCATGGTGACTGAGTCCACCACTGAGAAGGAATCAAACCTGTTTTGATGGTAGCTCAAAAGCTGCAGGAAAAAGGTGGCTGTAGAGGAAGAATGAGCTCTTACCGGGTCAATGCCAAAGGGGTAGGGCCCACCAAACACTCCCTGGATAGCAGGATCCAGCTGCAGCAGGGGGGTGGTCTCCAGCAAGGCATCTCTGTTTGGGAATAACATTACACAAACATTAACACAAGCAATGCCATCCACTTTGTGTAAAAACTAACAACACTCTTCCCTTGTGAGAGCCCAGATTGAGAGAACTTTAAGGTTCCTATGCGGTCCCAGAGATTCTCCCAAATGAATAAAAAACCTGTTTCTCCACCTTTTACTCAGTATCACTGAGAAGACAGGTGCAGGGGACAGGAATCTTGCAATGTCTATGAGGAGGAAGGTGAGAAACTGCATTTTTACAAGTTTTCTGGGGGGAAAAAAAAAGAAACTGTTCCGCAACTTGATAGATATCGTCCCATTTACACCCCTCTTCCAATTCTATGCGAGACTGAGCTCAGAAGGTTTCGTTTTCCTGAACTGGGAGGACAATGGGGGAAGGACAAGTCACCTGCTTCTCACTGCCTGTCTTTATGTAGTTTCCAAGGGTTTACTCACGACCAGTTGCCTTTAGTGAACATTGGCCGGACGCTCCACGAGGAACCGAACATGTTGAGGGACTTGGAGAAGCAGTCGTTGTAGATGAGGCCCGTGTACGTGGAGAAGAGCCCCATCAGCAGGATGATGTACCGACCACTGAACACCATGTTGAACATCTAGAGCAAAAACACAAAAGGAACAAAGAAGGTCCATGAGAACAGAGAAGGTCCCTCCTAGAGACAAACCAGGGAACTCGGTCTGCTGTGGGACAAACATCAGCCGTATGGACTGAGAGCCCAAAGTCTCTGTTTCTCCATGGCAAAGATTAAAGGGAGCAAGAGGGAGCAAGGCAGCACAGAATCTGATAACCAGGTGGTGTGGCTGTCCACAGGGAACCTGGGATTAGCTGGAGAGGATAAACTGAACTGCACAGAATGATGCAACCCCCAGCTGGCAGCGTGAGATCACAACCAGGCAGCACAGACCCTGTCAGCCTCCTCCATGCTCTGCCAGTGTATCTTGACTCTGGCTCAGCTCCTGTCAACCCTGAGCAAGCAAAACCCACCTTGAGCAGCAAATAGGAAGAATCTTGGAGACAGGATATAACACACACAGAAACCGGGGGTTTTGCAGTGACTGAACCCCATTATGATCCAACTAAATTTGGGGTGACACCAGCTTATCTACTACACTTGTTAATTTCCTGCAGACAACAGAAAGGAATAATTTTCTATAAATATCTGAAAGAAAAAACAAGGAAACTCAACACTATTATGAAACTACACTACTCAAGTCTGTGCTCCTCAGGCTTCCCAGCCTGTTCACGTGCTTCACAAATTCCAGAGGAGGAATAATGTGCATTGCCAACTCCATGGGAAATGGATGGGAGTAAACCAAGCAGCAACTCTTTGTTTTGAAATGCAAATCTCAGCACGATCTGCCACTTCACCTCATTGTCACTCTTCTGGGACAGAATCCGGCTTTCCCTCACCACCATCCAGACAGCAATCAGAGTCATCAGGATTCCGTGGCCAAAATCCCCAAACATCACAGCAAACAGGAACGGGAAGGTGATGATGGTGTAGGGTGCTGCAAGGGAAGAGAGATGACAGTCCCAGGGCATCGTGAGTCAGCCCAGATTCACCACGGTACAATCCAGGCAATTTAGCAATAAAATTACACAGCTTCCCCTCTGCTTCTGAAAGCTGTTGAGTCTCTATTAGAAATTTCCACACAAGTCAGACAGTACAGAGAAACACCATTCCTAAAAAACTGAGATGGGTGTCTCGGACCGTTTCAAGTCTGAATTTACCTGGATTTATTTCCCGATATGTCCCAATGCCGTAAGCATCAACAATGTTTTGAAAGCCAGCAGTAAACTTATTTGTTTTGTTGTAGGTGGGTGGGGTCTGGTTAGTTTGCATCCTGTTTAAAATAGACGGGACGGTGGATCCGCTGTGCTCCTGTTTGGAAAAAAAAACAAAGGGAAGATCAGTAAACCCACCCTCGGAGCACCAGGGGAGAGTCTGCCATGGCTTTCCTGCTGGCACTTGCAAAACTGCAAGCTTGCAGTGTGCTTGCACAATGAGACACTGGAGCAGCTGAGGAAGGCTGCCAGGATTCCACTGCTCTCCACTTTGCGTAGCAGGAGGAGAAGCACTTGGAGTAAGGGTGAACATTCCCTGCGTAGGACAGGCAAGAGAACTCATGAAAGAATTTGCTTGTTTTTTTAAAACAGCAAGTGAAAGGACTTCGAGACACCCAGCTCTCTTGTCCATCTGAGCAGAGGGTGAGCTTGCCAACATCCTGGAGAGCTCCTGTATCCAGACATCAAGACTACAGAGCACAGCCATGATAACTAAATGTACCAAAGGACTCACACACTGGAAAATCCTCACCAGTCCAGCATTCTCCTGAACTTAAACCTTTACACAACATACTTGTTACAACATTTACGAATAAATCATGATTCCTGGACGCCAAGTAAACTGTCCTCTGGGAGGGGCTGATTCCAACAGCCCAAGGGGATGGTTTTCAGAGGGTCACAATTTGGAAAAACCAATGAATCCATGCAGTGCTGCCACAGCTGTGCCACAGGCACAGCAGCTACTCACGGTGCCTCTCCTGAGAGCAAACTGGATGGAATCGAGGTCGGCAACAGGACACCAGACTTCAGCAATCAAGCACTTCTGTGTCACGTCGATGTTGCAGAGGTTCAGGGTGTGGTAAATCGCCTTCATCTTCCGCACTTTGATGAACCAGACCCGGATGTTTTTAGCAGCTGCCTGCAAAACCCTCTGGCGGTGATCCTCTGTTTGGTTCAGCACCTTGCAGAGAAGCAGGAGAAAGGTGAGGCCAAGGTGCACAAACAGGACAAGCCTCACCCACAGAGGATGGACGAGGATGCTCCCCTACCCCATGCACAGGCTGCCCCACACCTGAAGTCCATGCTGTAATCCCCATGTTAATTAATTCTGCTAAAGGGCCTGAACACTTTTTCCAGGGATGCTTTCTGATTACTTTCCTCCTCCAGCCCCAAGGTCAGCGGTTGTTTCAAACAATGAACTGTGCCAAGGCCACAGGGAACAATTACACCTCCACCCAGGTTAAAAGAGCAGAGGAGAGCTCCGCAAGTGAGGGGTTTGCTGCTTTGAGAAAACACATCAATTACCCTGAAAAACTTGTTTACTGAAGGGAAAAGGAGAAAGTGCTTCCTACTGAGGGTGTTTTCCAACTGGAACATATGGAACTCAGGCCAAGTCAGATTTCCAGAGTGGAAAGTCTTAGACTGCAGGGAAAGTGAGGACACAGAGCACATGTAGCTTTGAATCCTCCCAGATACATTGCTTGTGAGTTCTTGTCTACTTTCAAATTGCTGAACAGCTGTGCTACACAACTCCCACCTTGAGACACTTTCTGTATCAAATAAGCAGACCAAATTCAACTCTTTTTTTCCTTTTAATTTCTAACATAGTCGTAATTTTTGCCTGAAATCCCTTAAATCTTTCTGCATTATAACATACTGCCTTTCTTCCCTGAAGCAAGCACCAGGTATTTCAGAACTGGCACCCAGGAGATCTGGGTGCTGATTACTTTTTACCAACACTCAGGCTGCTGCACAAGAGATTAGTTGTAAAGCAGAAGCTCTTCAGGACAGCACAACGTGAAAATACGAAGACAGGCAGAAAAAAGAAGAGCTAAGTTAATGTTAGCATTGTTATCTCAGCTTGGAAAAAAACGTTTAAATGTTTTTCAAAGTACTTGCAGATGAAACAGACAATTACACAACACGCTCTCAGAGCCTTACAGCACACAGGATCTCCTCACACATGCGTGTTCCTCTTTGCTCCCTGGTATGGAGTTCCCTTTACTTACTTGCAGAGAATGAACTGCTCAGCCCTCCAGAAAGATCAAACCACCCCCCTTCCAAACCCTGACACAGAAACAACTGAGCAGCCTCCGAACATCTCTCTTGGCACTGCTGAGCTGCTGGTCTCGAGCTACCTGGAGCTGAAAACAAGGTCATCTAACAGGGCCAAATTTCCTCCTGTTTTAATAGGATCCAAAGAAGTTTTCAGCTTTGTCACTAAATAAAAAAAAGAAAGGAAGGCCATTGACCCCAGTTATTTTACCATCTGAAGATCATCAATTCTGGTATTGACACCAGAAGCCATTTCCTTCCGCTCCTGGGGTGTTTCTGGGCACGGGTAGAGGGAGGCCCGGAACCTGGAAGACAGGGAAGCATTTCAATGACAGAGATGGAAAGATCAATTGGTCAGGGCTGAGCCTGAGCTTAGAAATAAAGCCAGAAACACCTTAAGAGAAGTTTCTGATCAGCAGAGACTGCCAAGCAGAGCTCCAGTCTCTAAATCACGGGGGTTCTTAAGTTTGCTTTAGGTCAAAACAGAAGCTGTGCTAAAGAAAACAGAAGTGAGAGAGAATCCTCTGTTCCCTGTGCTCCCAGTGTCTCAGGGCACTGTCACGAGGCTGTTCAGCCAGTGCAGGGGAATGCTGTCATATCAGTGCAGCTGCTGCAACAAGCACTCACTGTTGTCCCCTCTGTGAGAATATCCCACTGACATCCCACCAGGCCTGTCCCAGAGTTCAATACTCCCTTCGTTTTGGCATTCCCTAGCACAGCAGTTGTATACTTTGAGCATTACAGGCTGTGGAGGGGGAAGTTTGACTGTAAAATACGTTTCAGCTACTTATGGCACGTTTCATTTGCTGTCAAAATAGGTGCTCCTGCAGCCACTGTGAAATAAGGAGTTGAGAAATACCAGTATTAAGTCATGTCACTGTTCAAATAATTGAGAGCTGCCCAGCTGTCAAGACTTTCATACCCTTCACAGATCTTCTTGACTCTGTTCTTCAGCTGGTCACCTTGGAAGAAGATGATAAACACAGACTTGTGCACATAATCCCCCTAGGACAGAGGAAAGAATTGTAGAAATTAGCATCATAGCTAAATGCCAGAGCTCTCCTTTTCCTTCCACTTCTGTCCATCAGAGCTCAGGTGTGCACAGTGGGTCAAGAATGTACTTGAGTAACACTGATACAGTCACAAGGAGAGCGATTTGCTCAGCCTCAGCACAGAATACCTGCACTGTATTTGTGTTTACTGAAGCAAAACATCCCAGATTATCCATTATCGATTCTATGCAATACACTGAAAGGGAAAACCTGGGAAGACCTCCAAAAATAATGGAGATGCAATGAAATACTTATCAGCACTTAGTGCAGTCAGCTCACCTACAGAATCAAGCCAAAAGCTACAGAGTGAGTGAAGATAAGACGAAGGGGAGTTTAACCACTGTGGTTCCCAGCGAGGCTGGCGGCACATTCCTTGCACAGCTGTGTCCGTGGGGGCAGCCAGGGCCCCTTTCCTGCATTTGTTGACAAGTTATTGTTCTACCTTACTTAGGAAATTTTAACATAATGTTTCGAGAATAATTACATTAGGTGTAACCTCAGTTTAAGGAAGTTCTTCACAATAAGAACAAAGTCCCTCCAAGCAGACAGATGATTCCACAGGTCAGCTACCAGTGGTCGGAGGGACAGGGGAACACACCAGCCTTATGTGAGAAAGAGAGGTGTTACTGAACTTCACCTCCTGGGTCTTTTGTGTTCCAGGGCAGTCCCCATGCAGCCTCTACTGGGTAGGAGCAAGGGTTCCCCAAGTCTGGGCAGTGCCCGCTGGTTTGAGAGCAGAGGACACTGCATGTAAAACCAGGTCCAATCACTGTGTTTACATCTCTATCTTTACTAAATTTCTCAGGCGGACGTTTAAATTATCAGGTAGCAAATTAAGAAAAAATGAAAAGTCCAGGTTCAGGGTAAATGACTTTCAGATGTGACACACTGCCTGTGTCCCAAAGAGCCTCTTCCAAGGAGGATCACCAGTCAGTCCGAACTGCATACAGGAGCTGCACTTGCAGTTTGGGCCAGAGAAGTCACCAGGACCTGCTGCAGCTCACGTTTTGAGTTGTTTTCCCCTTTTCCACAGCATTCCCCATCCAGCCTGCTATTTTTGTTTCACTAAGAAGGGAAAAAAAGTTTGTTGCTAAAGCTCAGAGGCTGCAGCAGGTGCCGGGAAGGGACACGACCCAAACGTTTGCTTCAGGGAGCTCAGCGGGACACAGGCTTCAATCTACAGGCTGTTACACCTCTGAGGCTTCTGCACCCAACAGCCCCTGTTACCGTGGCGGGATCCTCCAGTGGGTTCTCGATCTCGGCCTGGCGCAGGAAGACGTTCCCGCGGCACACGCGCCACAGCATGCGCTCGAAGGTGGGGATGCGCTCGCGGTTGATCACACCAGCCACGAACCTGCCAGGGGGACAGCACAGATGTGAGGGCTGCACCCAAAGCACCCCTCCAGAGCCTCCCACCCAGCACACCGTCAGCATCACACTGAGAGCTACAAGAAGCTTGGTTTAACATCAGTTCCTTAGGCAAAACAGGAGGTCCTCTAAAAACGAACAACAAACCAGCTGCACGGGCTTGTTTTTTAACAGAACAAAATAATCTTTTTTTTTTAAAAAAACCCCACTGCTTATAGAAGAAACAAATGCATTTAGATATACAGTTTCTAGGCTCCATTTCCCAAGGGTTCTGGTACATTGGCTGCAAGGGTTAGAGCAGCCACGGCTGCCAGTGACTCTGCCCTGGGCTTCGTGCTTCAGAGCTCACCAGCCCAAACACCCACATCCAGATAAAGAATTACACACACGAAAGGAAGCCTGGAAGCAGCTGATAAAGAGAATATAGAACTATGCACTTATTTCAGAGCATTATGTGCTCACGGTAGTTACGACTTTCAACAAAGCTGTGAGAGCTCAGAAGGTCTCAAAAACAACCAGTTTTGGGATAGTTCACTGGTGCAGAGAAACATGTGAAGCCCAAACATGAACTGGTAAGTTAATGCAGGCAGGACAAGAGCAGAGAGCAACAGCTGGTTTTAGATCAGCTTTCATCTGCTTGGGGTGGAAAGTCCCACAGCTGTGATCAAATCATTGCTGATTCCACAGGCTCATAACCCCTAATCCAGCAACCCCAATGCCAGGTCAGAGCCCAAACTGCCATTACCCAAGTCGGAGTGGGGCACCTCTTCCCATCTCGCTCGGCTCCAGCAGTGAAGAGGATTCTTCCAACAAGTCTGGATCCGCCATCTGCTGATGATGCAATTCAGCCTGAATTCACAAATCAATTAATATCTAATGAAACCAGTTAGTGGCATGCAGGGAATGAGGAGCCAGGAGACAGTCGGAGGAGACAAAGAAAGAAAAGAAGGAAGAAAAGAAAGAACGAACATAAGACCGCAAAAGGAGGAACAAGATGACAGAAAAGACAGCAAGAATTACACATGGAAGGAGAAAAACAAGAGGAAAAGTGAAATGGCTCAGCAGGGCTTCCATACAAGAAAGGTTTGAGGATTGTTGCAACAAAGGGGTTGGGGGATATATAAGTCTGAAGAAAGGCAGAATTAAAAAAAATAAATTCCAAGTCTTAAGTACAAGTGATATTTTCCCAAGAACCATTTTTAATGGCACAAACCAGGGAAACACACTTGATTCTCATAGTTCCCCAGATATTAAATTAATTTACCCTTATTCACCATATGTCTCACCACCAGACACAACAGATGGGTTGCTTAGGGCAGGCTGGCGATGTGGCTCTTAGACAGCCAGGCATTAAAACAGGACAGTTTTACACTGTCCTTCGTTGCAACTCGTTTGCACGCTAAAATTCTTAGGAATACAGCCTGTAAGTGCCAGCAATTCAGGTCAAGGATGCTCAAATCACATCACTCTTACGCACCATCTTCACACTTGTTCAACCCCGCCTCGCGCTCAGTTCTACCTCTGCAGCTTCTATAGTGACATGCCAAAAATTATAGTTCCTGAGCACACCCAGAGGGTCAAAGTCTACCCTCTGTGGTAAACAGGAGGTCTTCCCCAGAGAGCCATCAAGGGAAGTCGCTGAAACACGGCGGAAGGCAGAGTTTGACCCGCGGCCACGCCGGATGCACACACACAGTGCAGCCTTGCAAAAGCGCAGCGACTCGGCCCCAGCTTCTCTATTTGGGCCACAGTTGCCTCAGAGTTTTAGTGAAAACGTCTCCAACGCTTTACTTGTCTGGCAAATAAAAGTGTTCGCCGCATACAAGAGTTTTTGCAAGGCTGACACCAAAGGCAGCTCAACTTGCCTGTACATACACTTGCTGCAGCTTACCAACGTCACACAAGGGAGGGAGCCCTTCCTTCAGCTTGGAAAGGCAATACGAGGAGCTCCTGATCCTCTCAGCTTTAGGGCAACTTGTTGCAACATCAGAAAGCGAATGAAAAGTTTTGCTTTGTGGAGAACGCAACCAAAATAAGAAAGTTTGGTACCCCAAAACGAGACACACAGACCAAACATCCTGGTGATCGTTTGACATCTCAATTTCAGGACGCTGAAGAACAGTCAAGTTACAACTGTAAGAGGCTTGTATTGTATTTACAGTCACCAAGACGCTGTCTGTTAATTTTTTGTGAGGTGTACCACGTTTCAGCAGAGGAAACATGAAAAAGGAAGGACAGCACACACGTGACAACTTTGGATTCATCCCACCTGAGAGAATTTGTTATAAATGTTTAACATTACCTTGGTCCCTCTGGGCTATGTGTCCTTTAGTCAGGACAAGTCCTCCTTTGAGGGGATGAAATTACAGAACAAAACAGTTTAAAATAAATGTAGGTTAGACCAGTTTTACTAAAATATTGAGACTACGTGCAAATGGAAGAACTATCCAGCTCCAGCGCAGGAAAACAGGGTTCTGGGAAATTTACTTTGAGTATGAGTTTTTACCAGCACCAAATAAAATGTCAGTTATTGTGGAGTGTTTTTACTGCATCAGGTCATTCAGGATTGGAACTCCCCTACATTTCCATGCCAGTAATCAAGAAGCAGACCTTTCCCTATTGAACAATTTTAAATTGCTTATTGTTCCCCTGATCAGCACCCTTAATCTCAAAAGAGGTTCATTTTCCCCATTTCTTGATTCCAGTCCTGCCCTGTAACAGCTCTGGATGCCCAACACAACCCAATACAATTCAAGCCCCTTCCAGGTCACAAAGAGAACAAAAATCAATGTTCACAAGAACTTAAAAGGATTCATGTCACCGTCTAACAATTAACCCAGAGCCAGACAGAAGTGACAGACGCAAAGCAAATAGAGAAAAGCAGATGGCAGAAGAGTCAGAGGGAGGAGGAGGGGACTGCATGCCATTAACCGTTACTTTTCCAGTCTTCTTTTACGCTCACACTCAGGAAAAAACTCTCAGAGAAATCTCTCCAGCTCATACCGTTCTTCATAAGCAAAGACAAGAAGACTGAGAAAAGGAGCATAATCATCAACATGGTGTGTTGGAACAAGAAATGGCTTCTCGGGCTGGAACGGTCACAGGAAGAACAGGGGAACATTTTGCCACCCTCCCTCCCCACCTCGTGCTCAAACTCCAGAGAGGAAACATCAAGCGTGAAGGAATTTGGAGAGCCAGCCATTTCTTGTGCAACTCATTACTATGAATAATACAATCTCAATTACAAGTCATTGAAGTCTTCAAGTGTTGAAGGTGCTGAGCAATGGCAGCCCGGGGAAAGGGAGCACTGGCCACTCTGGGATGGTAAGCAGAGGCACCAGGCACACGCCCTGGGCTGCTCAGGGCTCTCACTCGGCTGTTTGCTGAGCACAGCGTGAACTGAGGCAGGTTTAAATTGTCCACACCTATGTTCTACTGAACAACACCCATGAGTTGTTCAGCTTGCTTTTGCATAGAGCAGCACATGTTATCTGGTATCTTTTGTTTAACCACTACAGAAAACACTTATCAAAGAGGAGCAGAACACATCTAAGCTCCCTGTGGCCGGTTCATGTAAGGCTGCCATGAGCTCCCTTCCGTGGGTGACCTGACATGGACTGTTTAGAAAACTGATTTTCACCTTTAAACTTGGTATGATCAAACTGCACTGGAAGAAGAGCAGTGGGCAGCTCTCACCAGAGAGGACAGTCATTACCAAGGCCAGGTTGGATGGAGTTTGGAGCAACCTGGCCTAGTGGAAGGTGTCCCTGCCCATGGCAGGGGGTGGAAGGGGTGGAGCTCTAAGGTCCATCCCAATCCAAACTAGTTTGGGATTCTTTCTTGATACAAAAGTGCTCAGCACCAGCTGTACCTGATTTTACTTAATACTCAGAACAGGCAGTGGCACCTTAACACAGTAAAGTAATAGATTATCAGGTTAATACAAGTGTCCCTTGGACAAACGGGAAGTGAACATTCAACACTCGAAGACGACGTGTTTTTTTTTTGTACTGAAATCAACCCCACGACCCATCAACCCTCACATCAGCAGCAATATCTGTGTCAGCAGTGCCCACGACTGGTGGTGGCACGGGAACAACCCTGGTGCCTGAACAGGCAGCACCTTGTGCCAAAAACACCAAAAATCAATCCGTTAGATCAACGGCCTGAAGTGTGCAGGAGCCCAGAAAAACACACAGGAGCTGTCTGAGAAGACTGCCTACACAAGGAAGGGTTGTGTCTTCTCCCAAGCAGGATTTATGTCGGTGCCATGAATGACACTGGAGAAGCTCCTCTCAGATCCAGTGAAAGCTGCCAGGCCCAGCTGATAACTGGCAAGATGTCAAAGACTTTAAACAGCAGCTTTGCTCCAGAACTGACCCCTGAAAGCTTCAGGGTTTGATCAAAGGCTCAATTAAGTAATTATTACTTCAGAGGACTTTATATTATGACCCTGATTAGTTTCCACATAACAATTCAAAGGCTGAACACAAGTTCAGCTTGATTGTAACTCCTCTGCACGTGCACCAAAGGGACTCCAACCCACTGGGGACAGTACTCCCTGCAGCGCCAAATTTTGGGGCTGTTAATGAGCTTTAAAAAATGCTCATGTCTTAACTATTTTACACAATTTTTAAAGAAATCATTGCTTAACTAGAACAAACCCAAACCAGCATTGTAGGAGGTAAATCATGGGTAGCTGTGTGTTCTGCATGAAAAAATGGAAAACAATTTGACAAGCTTTCTTGAACAAAGCATAAAATGATCCTGCTGCCCAAACCAGCAACTGAAATATATCTGAGAATAAAAATGGTAATTTCTAGGAGAAGAACCAGCTCCCCGAGTGCTAACCCCCCCACCCCCGGTATTCTGACCTCATCAAAAAACTGCTGAGTTTTACGCAGTATAAATTTTAATTCTGTCAGCTCCAAGAAGTTTTTCTTCAGAGCCTCCTGATTGGTGTTGATTTCTTTAAGCTCATTTTCAATTTTCTCAAAGTTTGCCTGCAAGATGCGAGAAAGAGAAGGAAAAGGGACTTAAAGCAATTCCACAAGTAAGTGCTGTTCAGTCCAGCTACACACGGAAGCAGATGAGATACTTCACACCCCCACCTAATTTGTATGGAATTACAGGTGCGTCTCCACAGTGCTGTGGCACAGATCCAGATTTGCCACATTCTTTTCAGGCAACTACAGACTTCTCACACTCAGCCAGTCCTTTATGGACTGGATCTATGCAGCTTCTTCAAATCATTAAACCCCTGATAAACTTTATGACCCACCACCATAAATCATGTAGTTCCAGCAGGTTTTGGCTCATTTGGACAGTGAAATTCCTATTAAGCACTTTCACTTCTGCTTGGATAAACATAGAAGCAGCACAGAGCTGTGAGTCACACCCAGCCCATGCGAGGTGGCAGAGCCACATCCAGGGCCAGCTGGGGACTGAGACATTGCCCCTCTGCTGCTGAGCTCTGCAGGCATCGACCCATAGGGACAATTTTCCCTGTTTCCACTCAGAGTCAAACACTAGTCCAGTCTTAGCACATCATTACCTCCAGGTCAATCATGTCACGTGGAAAAGGCACCTCTGGGTTTTCCCCGGTGTCCATGATGGGAATATTAGCTTTTTTAATCTCCTTCTCCACAAACCCTGGGGAGACAGCATTGACAGTGTTAACCACAGACACTCCAGGGTCACCCCAACCTGCACCTGGCCCCATCAGTCCTTTCACCTCCTATTGTCTGACTTGGTCAGAGTTACCTTTCCAGGAGGCGAACCCCGTGCCCTCACCCCTCTCTTGCTCTGCTCCTAACGCTGCCCTGCAGCTTCTGCCTGCCTTGACTGGCTTATCAGCAAAAAACGCAGAGTCAGAGCCCCACCAGCCCCGGGGGGGAAGGAGGGGGGAAACGTACGGAGCTTGCGGTCCATCTCCTCACACCTGCGGACCTCATTGACGAATTTTCGGTGGAACACGTTCACGTCGGGGTTCAGCTGCGGGGAGAGACGCGGGGTCAGCGCTCCCCTGACCACCGGGCGGGGAGCTCCCGGGGGGGGGTCCCGATCCACACCCCCCCACCACCACCACCATCCGCCCGGGGTCCGCAGAGACACTCACGTCGCGGAACTGGACCTTGCCCAGCTCGCCCAGCTCGCTGACACAGCAGTACGCGGCCTCGGACTGCAGGAACAGCTGGGCCAGGGTCATCTCCTCGCTGCGGAACAGCTCCCCCATGGCGGCACCGCTCCCGCCGCGGCCTCTGCGGACAGCGGCACTGAGAGCCGGCACGGGGAAGGGGGGGGCAGCGACCGGGGCCTCCCCGCCGCCTTGGTCACGGCCCGGCTGTCCCCAAACCGTCCCCTCCCTTCCCGCTCCCCGTTCCCCGTTCCCGTTCCCCGTTCCCCGTTCCCCGTTCCCGGTACCCGCCGCTCCCCCTGCTGCTCCGGGCCGGGACCCGCCCGTGACGTCACCGCAGCGGCGTCACGCGCACGTCTCCTGGCGACGGCGCGCGGAGGGGGCCCCGCCCCGGAAGTGACGCTTAATGGGAAGGGAAGGGGGCGGGATCGGGGGGGGCCGCTGCTGCGGTGACGTCACTATCCCTTGTGCTACGTCATATGCCCTGCCACTTTATCTGGTTCTGTCCAGGCTGACCTATTCAGGCAGGATTTCAATTATTCCCACATGGAGACCCAGAGGCACGGGGATGTGCTGGAGTCATACATGGATGACAGGCCCAGGAGGAGCTCTGCTCCATGGGCACCCTGTCCTGTACCTGAAGCCCCCTGCAGGTGCCTGGGGAAGCCCACCCTGGAGCACTCCCAGGGACAAACAGCCTGCACTGAGGGTGTCCTCATGGAGCTGACTCATAAGCAGCAAGCACTGGAAATAAACGCTCTGGAAAAAGGTTCCCTTCAGGAAAGAACAGGGCATAGAAAGTAGCCTGTTTTTCCTGGGTGGCATAATGGCTGTTGTGTGGGCACGGGACACAATTCCCTGGTTCCAGAGCCACGAGGCCCAGGTCGGTGGGGAGGGTGATCAGTCCCAGAGCAGGGAAAGTGCTGACTGCATTCATGGGGAACAATGTCCCTCTGTGGGATGCCCTGGGCTTCCCAGCCTGTGTGTCAGGATGGGTCATTTGTCCCGGGCTGCCTTGGGCATTCCTGGTATTTTCCAGCTGGTGGCAAAGGGCAAGGGCGGTCTCTGGGGAGAGTGCCCAGCTTCCTCCCTTCAGGACTGCGTTATCCTTCTCCTGTGTTAAACCTGTGTGGACATGTGGTGCACTTTGCACGTACTGTGTGCGCCCGTCATACATTCACAGTTGGGGGGGGGGGAGGTATTGTTATGATCAGGTGTTTTTGTGCCGTAACTACCGAATACAAATTGTAGCATTTCTTTAAAATATTGAAAAATCCTGCTTTCGTAGTCCTGGGGAGGGAAAAAAAAAACCCCAAGCCTTACTATTGGCAAAAGGTCTGCATTTTCCAGCTGAACTTCAGCGTGTGCAGTTGTTTAAATCAGCCTTCAACGCACACAGCTGTGCCCAGATGGGGCTGCTCTCTTCCCACTCTTCCCAGCGGCTTCCCGAGCCGTTCACTCGGGGATTTTGTTTTTTCCTCTCCTTACTTACAGCGCCTTTAGACTGAGGGGCGGCAGCAGTTCCAAGGCTTTGCATTCCTGGCTGAGCTGTGCCTGTGTTTGCATGCAGAGCCATCGCCTCCCCTCCAACTATTTTAATCATTTCAAAAAGGGTGGGTCAGCAGGCATTTGGCAGCGGGCTCCTTTTCTATAGCTGAGGTGGAGTCAGCCAATGACCTGCAAGCCTGGAAGATTTTGCAGGGCAGTTCCACTGGACGGCTGTGCCATTTGAATTTCAGCACAGACACTCACTCGCTGCGCGCTCCCCATTCCTGGCGCGTCTCCCAGCGCGGAGTTTAGCCGAGGCTCGGGCTCAGTTTTCCCTGCTCTCTCCCTGCACTGACAGCTTCTCCGGGCTCCGTGAGCCAGGACTGCCGAGCGACCATGGAGGACACCACCTTGCAAATCATCGAGCCGCCCACCGTCTCCGAGGCCTCGGAGGAGCAGGCGCCCGAGGAGCCCATCAAATCCGACCAGATCAACGGCGTGATGGTGCTGACCCTGCTGGACAAGATCATCGGAGCGGTGGATCAGATCCAGCTGACCCAAACGCAGCTGGAGGAGAGGCAGCAGGAGATGGACAGCGCGGTGACCAGCATCCAGGGAGAGCTGACCAAGCTGACCAAGGCCCACACCACCACCAGCAACACCGTCAACAAGATGCTGGAGAAGGTGCGCAAGGTGAGCGTCAACGTGAAGACGGTGCGGCAGAACCTGGAGAAGCAAGCCGGGCAGATCAAGAAGCTGGAGGCCAACGAAGCGGAGCTCCTGAAACGCAGGAACTTCAAAGTCATGATCTACCAGGTAAGGAGCTGTTTCGCAATGTCTTTGCATCCTGTTAGCGGCTGTTTTCTCTGCTGAGGGTCCTGTCACGCTGCATGGCCGGTCCAGTCCTCTCCCAAACTCCCTGCGCTGTCTGGCAGTCCAGGCTGAGGCGGGTCCCCCCCGTAGCTTTCTCATTTTGTGGTTTAACATTTTCTGTGTGCCCTAAGACAAAGCTTGACAGAGTTGTCCCACTTAACAGGAATTTTAATGCAGATGGGAAGCAAGGCCCTAAGCACTCGCTGCAATAGGCCAGAAGGATCAAAATAACCCGATTTTACTGCTTAGCTCAACAAAGTACAAGTGTGTTCTGGGATCTGGAAGGGTTTCTGTAAATCCATCTGCAACATCTCTTCTACCAAGAGACACCATGTGCATGGCTACGTGGAGAGCGATAACATTTCAGATTTGTGACATGCATCTGATAACAACAAGTGACAGTAACCCTGGCTCGGGGTTAATCTCACCCGCCAGGGCAGAATAGAGCTGTCAGAGAAAATCCAGACCGGTCCCCTGAGCTCGGCAGCACCCAGGGTGGACTTTGCCGTGGGTTTGTAGAATTCCCACCTTCTTCCTGCTGCATCCTGCAAGCCTTGATCCTTCTCATTGTCTGGTTTCAGTAACAACTTCGGTTTGCTCGATGTTCTCCCCCCCGTGCTTAGCGTTGGAGTTTTCCTTTCGTATTAAACAAGGAGAGAGAGAGGAGCGCGGTTCTGTCAGGTTTCCTGCCTGCAGTTAGTTTTCCGTGTCAGAGCAAACTCTTCTATTGGGCCCCAGGAGAAAAGTGAGTGAAACAGTTAACGATTCAGTTGGAAGCCTCTGAGTTAATAATAGCCAGCGCCAGGGACAAATAGAGAAGCATCGAATGCTGATCATGGGAAGAGAGAGAAGAAAAGCAGAATAAAAGGAAGAATGGTACTTGCTGTGGGGTTTGAGGGAGAGCAGCTCATGACAGGCTCAGCGATTGGAGATATACAGGGCTTGTGGAACTCCTTGGTTCGGAGCTTGAGCATTTGTAGTTTTGTCACGGCTGAAAGGCCGAAATACTCAAGATCATACGAGCAACTCGACCAGTTATAGACAGATATACCTGTGTGTATTTATTACAAGCTCGTTGTATCAATCCATCGACGGAAAAATAAGATAGAACTTTAAATGTCCTGCAGAAGCAATGACCATTGCAAAGTGAGAGGAGGGAAGGGAATTGTTTAAACATGACATTCCGTGTGGGTTACGGAGATAGGTAGGAAGTTAGCAGAGTTCAAGGTCCTCAGGAAGCATCCTGAACATTGACAGGTTGGTGTTTGGTGAGCTGCTTGTGTTGGTTTGCACTGGCTTGTGTGTATTGAGCAGAGTTTCTCTTTGAATATGAAAAAACAATCCTGCTTCTGAAGGCTCAGGGCCTGCCCTTGCTGCTGTGCTGAGGACAGAGCAGCCTTGGGGAGAGCCAGTTGGCAAGGGACTGTGGCAGGGACTTGGTAATCATGGAGATTCTAGTGAAAAAAAAAAAATATTTGTAATTTGGAACGATTTCCCAGAATGGAATTTACTGTGATCTGAATGTGAGGTCGCCGAGCACAAGTAAGGAGTTCTCCAGGTTTGCTCCATGTGCAGTGGAACTACTTATGCCCTCATGAACATCCTGGCACTTCTGCAGGAGCAGACCCGGCCCCAGTGAGAAAGGACTCGGCACTGGGATCCACCCTGGGAGGTTAAATGAGGAATTCACTGTGCTTTCCTAATGGTGTCTATGGCTAAAAACAAATAATTACAACATAACCCTATTCTAATTCGGTGTTTCACTTCTCAGACCCCCCCCCCACTCACCCCTCAAAGTTTCTGTTGGGTACGTTACTGGTCATGTAATTAATTCTGCAGTACTGAGCACATTATTGCTTCTCTCTGACTCAGGGAAAGCTGCTGCGCCACGCTGGGAGTGACTCCTGTGTGTTTTCCACTGCTGTGGCTAAAAGTATAAAGATTTTTTTAGCCTTTTCTTTTGGAGAACAAGAGAGAAACTCATTTTAGGAGAAGCAAAATATTCCATAATCCCAGCGGTGGCTGTTTTCAGGCAACAGAGCTGAGCAGAGCAGGAGTCATGCTCTGTAGGAATTCGATATGGCACAGCTCTATGGTCGAAAAGATAAAGGAAGTAAAGATAAATGAGTTCTTTACTGGTTAATGATGTTTGATTATTCTCTCTGCATTAAGCCCTGAAGCTCCAGCAGTTGTGGAGGGACTATTTCAGGAGTGCAAATCAGACCTTTTGCACCTTGGGAGGGGAGGTCAGACTGCCTGTGCGAGTTGTGTTTTCCTCGTTGTAGATTAAGAGGAAATCGAAATAAAATTTTATTCAGGGAAAGCCTGACCTGTGGGGTGATCCTGAGCACAGCTGTCAGGGTAGTTTCAGATTTTATGGGAAATGTTGAGCTGCAAATCAGTCCCATGTCCTGGCTAAGGTGAGATATTGAGCGGAACGTTTACGGGTGTCACTCTCATTCCAGTCCGTGTGCACATTTTCTCGCTTGCTCACCTTCTCAGAAACACTTCCAGCTGATTTAGCCAGGAGCTGGTCTGATTCCTACCGAGTTAAAAGAGTTCTTGTGTCGACTCAGTGTAGGGAATTAGGTCGATTCTCGAGAGTAAAATTTGAAAACAACCACCCCCCTCCAAATTGCCCCATCTTTCTGTTTTGAAAACTTGCGGACCCAAAACGAGTGGCCCAGCTGTGTAAGCAGACGTTCAGTGCAGGGCATGCCTTCCTAAAAAGTCTGATAGTGAGTGCCTGCACTGCTCAGCAAGCCCTGGGAATAGAGCTCAGAGCTCCTCAGAGCTTCCTTTGTGCCTCTGGCCCGGGCTCACATCTTTCAGAGAAACCAGGGCAC